TTGAGAGATGTCCACTGCAAGGGGCTTGATTCAATCCATCGAGGCTTCATCGAAATACACTCGTTTTATAAAGGTAGGGTCCAGCGATGAGTGTTTAACCTTTCTCACACTTGCCGTGTCCCTGAAAGAGTGAAAAGACCCTACTTGTAAAAATGCCTTGCAGCGGTATTAGGGGGAATTTATTCATTAAGAACTACAAGTGGTATTATCATTAAGGAAAGGGCGTTTTCCACTTGTTCTTGTAAAAACTGAATTCCAGTTGCTCCGAACAAGAGACAAACTAATGAACTTGCGATAAGTACATCGGATACCAAACTTCTAAACACTACTCTTAGCTTAACAAAGGTATACTGCAAACCTTGAACTGCTTGGATACCCATGTCAAAGTGCAAACCCCCAAAAATCAGTGAAGAGCATATACATGAATGATTGTTAGAAAGATTTCCAAATAACTCCGTACTTTATTATGCATACAATTCTCTAAAAAGCAATAAGAAAACAATGGGAAAAACGATGGATTGCCTCTGGGTGTTAGACTTTGTTCTTAGAATATTGTGGAGTAACATTGAAATGTTTCCACTTGTTTCCTAAAATACAGCATTTTCCTAAAAACAGCATTACAAGTTGTTTATTGATATACAGAGTTGATCCTAAGTACTATTTGCAGTTTAGCTAGTGCTCTTCAATATTTTCCAAAATTCACTTTATACTAACTCGACACAAGTTTAGAAAAGAGTGTCAGCACAATTAACTGATTTTTATCATTTCGGCCATAAATAAAAAAATTAAAACATATCTATGCCTCCTTAATATGGTCCCATTATTCTTCTGCAAACATCTAAGAGAGGGAGGTGAACTGGGCTAACTGGAGGTGGGATGCCTAAATTTTGGCTGATGATGCCCCAAATTTGCAGTAATTGAGTCTACTATAATTGATTGAAAGACTGTTATATTCACATTGACTGCCTGTTAAATAAATGTTCTCTTTCCAGAGAGAGCAAACTGTCTGCTGTTTGTTTGGAAAGGAGAATGAAATCTTCAAGGACAAGGAACAGTTTGACACTTCGATTGGTGTTTTGATTTGTGACTAGAATTTGTTTTTCAAGCATTTTCAAAAAGCGCAGAGCAAGCGAAAAATTGTCTGTCAAACCATTGTTTGTTCTCATTCTAATTATGATTAACTCAGCAATAGGGTGATGTATGGTATAACCACTAACTTGCTAGCAAACTTGGTATAGACTTATTAACATAGTATTTGAGAGGTCTCACTTGTTAAAATCTGATTTCAACTTTAGTGGTTTTAAGTACCTAGCCAAAGTTAGACTTGGTTATGCATGTGCAGTCTTGTATCTTAAGCTGCAATATGGCCTAACGTTTTGCTCTATTCTTAATCAATATCGCCTGTTTTTAAAGTCCACCCTCTCTAAGTTGTCAAAAGTAAGGCTTGCTTAATTTGTGATCATCCAAAATAACAATTAGTTCTCAATGCCCTGACAACAAAATATAGACATAAATCCTTTTAACTTGTTGGCCTAAATGACTCCTGAGTGCAGCTGTTTGTGACCATGTGTGATCAATCTCAGGTTCAGTAAAAAATTTACAAAAATCCTTTTTGTTCTCATTAATTTCAATTATCATGATCTACAACACGTTTATCTTAATTATCTCTAGTGCAAAAAGTATAACCACCCCTCACATTAAGCAATGATAGATGGCCAAATTCAACTTTGAAATTGAAGGTTTGAATGCCCAAATTATGAATGAAAAATTAGGCAATAGAAATCCATGCTCAAGGTCTCCTTTTCAAAGCCCTCAAAATGATCTATGTTTTATAGCCACAAATCAAATTCCAGTGAACTTTGAAAAAATTAAATTGACAGCATTTTCTTTACTTTCACTCCCTTAAGTTTGTTCACACCAAGAACTAAAAGGTACACTAACTGTCTGGAAGACTTCATGACTACTAAAGGCCAATTTATTATATAATTGTGTCCATTCCTAACTACAATATACTATATAATTGTGTCCATTCCTTACTATTATATAATATATTATATAATTGTGTCCATTCCTTACTATTATAATATATTATATAATTGTGTCCATTCCATGCTATTATAATATATTATATAATTGCGTCCATTCCTTACTACATGGTGCACAACAAATGCTCTACTTATAAATTACCCTGAAAAGACACAATTAGTGGTTTTTGGCTAAGCACAACTTATTAAGAGGTTACTTCCTATTTCATTATCTTTGTTAGGCAAAACTATTGCACCAGTTCTGTTTGTCAAGGATCTAGGGGTATATATTGACCAATATCTTACCTGTGAAGTACATATCACTAAGACAGCCTCTAATTGCATGAACCAGTTAGTACACATCAGAGGAATTAAACATCTCTTAGACAAGAAAACACTTTTATTGCTTATAATACATAGCTTTGTTTTCAGTAAATTGTTTTATTGTTCCTCAGTGTGGGGGAACACATCTAAATGTAATCTACACAAACTACAGTTGGTGCAGAATTTGCAGCCAGAGTAGTATTAGTAGGGTTAAGGAAGTTTGACCATATCTCTCAGGGTCGGGGATCTCTTAGATGGTTAGATGTTACAGAGAAAGTTTTATTTATTTTAATGACTTGGTTTTAGCATTTAAATGTGTAAATGATTTAGCTCCAGATTATTTAGTTAAATATTTTGTTAAATGTTCAGCAGTCCACAGTAGGAATACAAGGAGAGGTAATAGTTTTGTGGTTCTCCGATGTAGACTGTCAATGGGACAAAGGGGGTTTTATTACCGGGGTCCACGGGAATGGAATGGGCTAGCTGAGAATATTAAGAATGTGAAAGAAATTGATACTGTAGTTTTAGGAAGACTCTTTTTAAGAATATGTTTTATAAGAAATAATTTTAGTTTAGTTTAAATTGTTATCGTAAATAAGTTTAGTTTATTGTGACTGAAAAGCCCTGTTGAAGGGAGTTCCAATAAAGTTTGTATATAATTATGTATGTATATAACTATGTACAGTGTAAGGCACTTGAAGCACCCCAACCAAAAGATCCTACCATCTCTAAGCTGAATAAAACTGAACTCATTCAACACACCCTCTGTCAATAGATATAATTATACCCACTGTCTTTGGTTCAAAGAACATGCTCTATCAAAGTACAAAACACAGAGCTGAACTAAAGCTCTCACACCATTCCCCAATTTCTACAATGTCCAACCATTGCCTGGACTTCTCCATCACCTATTTTTCATTAATTGAAAGTGAAATTTGGGAACAAGCAGGCCGGCAAGTGGCAACAGAAGAACCAAACAAGGGTTTGTAAACATGCCAAACACCACAACTGGTGATATTATAACCTGAGCAGAGAGGATATCCTCAAAGAGAAAATTAAATGGACTTTCCAAGTTTTAAAGGTTTTCACACTCAGTTGGATTGTAAGCTTACACACAGTAATACAAATCAAACACAGCTAACACTTGTAGAGTATGTATAGTTTCATGTTCAAAACAAGAATCCTGAAAAATATAACCAAACTGGTATAACTGTCAAAAGTCATAAAAATTATGATGATGTCAGAGTGACAGCGATCATACTGAGGTCCATCTCACCTAGTTCACCATGTCGATCCTCAGTCATCGCAGAGAAGCAAGCCTTCGAAATTACATAGACTTAGGAAGCCACTAGAGCACTCACGAAGTGGGGAGAAACCTTCGACCGTTTAGCCGCTTCCTCTTTGCTTTAAAACAGAGCAGAACACAGTCAAGGCTTCTCTATTTGTTAAGTCAAATCTCTTGCAGTTTGAATAATATGAGTCTGTGAACAAATACGGCTACCAAAATATTGAGAGTTTTTCAATTTAAAAAACATCAAAATGACAACAACAATCAGTAAAGAACAGGCCCTCTGGCAGATAAGTTTTAAAGAAGTGATTTCCTGACACCTGAAATTATTAGATGGCTTTCAACATGCCCTCAAACAAACTAAGAGATATTTAACTTAAATCAATGAAATGTGAGAACAAAGCAGATCTGAGTTTCACCTTACCTCTCCTAGCTGTTTTATTCCAGGTATCTTCGCAAAAAAATTTGCCAGACTGAGTAATTCCTTGTCTTGGTCCAATCTTGTTTCCATTCCTAGATACAAATATAACCATACCGAAAAAACACAAACTTTCCAATCAAAGAGAAGCTTGAGGAACGTTCTTTTCAAGTGATACCACAGTAAAAATGTTTAATTTTTACCATTTCACCAAAACTAGCCGCGGCCATGTTGGATTCACCTCGTTTGTTCCCAGTCTATTATCCCCACACGCACGATTTTCCCCCAGCCCCAGGAGGAAGAGCAACCCTGTCGGACCGTACGGCCGAACGTCCCCAGACGGACATAAGCAGGTGACATAGGTGTCCAAAGTCGGGCTGAGTCATTGAATGGAAACGGAAATGGAAATCAGACGGAGCAGACAGATAACAGACACAAGTGTTTAAACTAGGAAGACCGAAAATGAACGATTTTGGAAATGGAAGTCGAATTCCGTTTTTACAGTGCAAAGGAAAATCAAATCGAGAATGAAGTTTGTATGTCATCTTCCCTGAAAAATGTGAAACGGCTTGCGCTAGGATACACAGATTATAAATGAACTGGAATGGCTGGAAAAATAATACGATAGGCAGGGCAACAATCTTTTATTGAAAAAATTGTAGTCATGTAAACCATTTCCAAGCATTATAACTGACCGCTCTCGTTGAAACTGATAGACGACTTATGACAAATTCAAGCTTGCGCTCTTTAAAGTTAACGCAAGTGAGTATTTAGCTCATCTTCTTAACTTAATTCATTAACGATATTAGGACTTTCGCAAGGTAGGGCAATGTTTTAACTTATTCGGACAGCAAGTTTTTCTGGGTTAAAATTCACGCTAAAACAAACTGATTTAGACCCCTTTAACATGCAAACTGCTTCCTTTTTAGCACGGACTTATTGTCGATTTTTTTTTTTTTTTTTTTTTTGTGATCTTTTCCCTCAGTCTTTGTATCATTTACCTTTATGCTAAATGGTTTGCTTTCATGTACTTTGAGTCTGATTTGCGTCATAAACTAAAACAGTCCTTCTTTCTAGACCAAGGTGTCTTCTCGAGATTCAGTAAAATGTCTAGCTGGACTATCACATCTCATCGGTCTCCAAAAGCGTTGTAATTCTTGGCGTATGTCTTTCTTCATAAGCGCATACACAACAAAATTCACTGCAGAATTAAGATGTACCAACAACAACGCTATAGTTTTAACAAGAGGACTGAGATGGCATACTCCAAAATTGGAACAAAATGAAACAAAGATACTAAGACTGTAACAAGTTACAAACAAGAAAACTACTGATCCTAGAACTTTTGCAGATGAATTTTTTCTGGCCTTTTTAAGGCATTGTGGAACACTTGAGGAGTGATTGAAAATAACTTGATCCAGTTGAGTATTTGATTGTCTAAGTTTTTCTCGGCAGATGTACAAAATACGAGCATATACAGTCACCAACATCACGCACGAGAAAACACCGAATAAAAGATCGATGACCATGCGATAGTATTTATCGATCGTATTGTCTATCTCACCATAGAGCCAAAACAAACGCACAAATGCGGCAAGAAAGGAGATAAGCCAAGATATGGCTATCATCACAGAGGCTCGCTTGAATGTCATGAGTGACATGTAACGCAATGGATATACAACCCCGATATATCTGTCTATGGCCATCGCCCACAAGTTTGATGTAGAGGCGTACAACAGGAAGTTGTAAATTCCAATTTGTAATCGCCAGTCGCATTGATGCCCAAACGTACAAAAGATTCCAGTGGAAGTCGTAATCAAGCCGATAAAAAAGTCCGCAATTGCCAACGATAGCACAAACCAGTTCTTCGTGACACGCAAGCGACGTTTTGAAACGATCAAATAGATGACGAGGCCATTGCCCACAATGGCAAAAAAAGCAATAATAGCCTTGATGGTCCAATACCAGGTTTCTTGAGGCTCGATTAGAACATAAATTGAATTATTTGAGTCGTTGCCTGAGTGCGAAATGTTTTCCATAAAGAACTTTGATATCTACGCCTGTATCTCTAAGATGAGCGTAACTTCCAGGTGTGTCTAATCTTACCGTTTCAGTTAACGTTGTTCAGTTTGAGAATTCTTGTCTTCGCTTTAAACGAGATTCAAACTACTTCACAGCGTACTTTCTTCGTTAATGTCACTATGCAGTTTTTTTTTTTCGACGATTGGTAACTTTAATCTGCTCTCTATTCTTCACGTTTTCAAGTTTCACGGTTTCAATGTAGCACTTTGGACAGTCTGATTAAATCACCAAGGTACGTTTATTCTATAAACGATGTAAACAAAACCCTTTCAGGAAAGATGCTATCACGTAACTTTCTTATCGCATCCAGTTTGCGTGGGGCCTTCTTTACCGCATGTTAAAAGCCATCTAATAATTAGATGTCAGGAAATCACTCCCTTCTCGTCTCTTAAAAGGAACAAAACTAGTATTATACTATTCTGCGTTCGATAGTAATTATAGCATAAATTCTACTGTAGTAATTTGAGATCTCTCAAGATCAGGAGATCAGGTATTGGCTTTAAGAGAGCCCTGATGGGGTCACAGTCAAATCTGAATATTGGCATTTTTTATATATAACATCATCCGCCCTTTTTTTCGTTTCCGGAAGTGATTTTACCATAGCTCCTTTAAAAATTTTGATTCGTTGGCGATGTCGATGCTCAGAAGGCTTGACAAACGCATATTCATTTGTTCTAACAACAAGATATTGGGTTCTCAATGACTCCCAATGAATGTCCAATACTATAAAGTGCGCAAACAATGAGGGATTTCAATCAGCGTTGTTTTGACTGAAGCATAATGTTATTTTATTAACAGAGTTATGGGAGCAGTCAACTGATCCAGCTCAGGGTAAGTTTGACAAAGGATTGAAGCAATCTAGTAACCAAAAAAAAAAATAATAAAATTAGAAGGAAAATCTACTGGTTACCAGGTGATGGTACACTATTAGATTCAATATGGCAAAGGACTACAAGGACGAAACTTAAACCAGTATTAGCATGGGAAAAACTGCACGTAGGAAGCGGTTCAAAATATTTGGGCCTCGATAGAAGTAGATTTCGGAAATAGCACTTAAAATAAAACTCGAAATAACACTGCAGGACAAGGATAATATAGAAATGACGTTAAAGTACGTTGAAATGTGTGAGCTCTTTTGCTACGCAGTTGGATTAGAGAGCATGCAGTTTTGTTCGGACGAAGTGAAAGTTTCTCCATTCATTAGAAATCATTTTCTAGCTTACGGATTTAAAAGCCAAAAGGAGTAGTCATCTCCTAACTTTTTTCACTCCGGCCGGGCTCTGTTTCCTTTTTTGATCCGGCGATGGCAGTATAGAGATATATTTTGTGGCTTTGATCTTAAAAAATCACCGATAACATCACGGGTAGCCCAAGCTCACACTTTGAGCCTTCGCAAGATAAGCAAATATGTTTACGTGGCACAAAGGACGAAATATAAGGATCTGTATGGGCATAAAAAGGGGATCTCAACCAAACGTCTGAACTAGTTTTGAATAAATTAAAAACAAATTTACCTTGCTTGAGTGGTTCTTCCTTTACATGGAGCGAGTCTTTCGGGCTGATTTAGGGCCGTTTCCTCGGTTTTAGAAATAGTTCATCTGCTTTGCGCTCTGAATAACAAGTATCTTGAAAGGGCTATCTGTGGTAGTATTTTAAAGCTACTCTTTGTTACAAATGTCAAGCACTGTGACGTTTTCACCGTGTGACGTAGATCTCGGCGGTCTGAATGAGTCACAGTGCTCAACAGGGCCCGTATTGATCGTTTAACTGACCGGCGGCAAACGAAAACCGAACATACTTATTAAATCGAGTAATCCTAATTTACTTAGACCGTAGAATGAGTTAGAATGAACGAAAGGTTATCGATCCCAGACTTAAATAGCACCAAATAACCCGGCTTTATATTCATCTCACCTTGCTGATGTTTTAACCGAATTGGATTTCACTTTTGTCATTTCCTAATCGCATAGAAAACAATAATATTTTCAGCGGAAGTGACTTTTTTTTCAATCGAAAAAAGCAATAAGAAGTTGCTCGTGGTTAAGTGCCGCAGAGACAGATTATTCAATTAATCACTATCTTATTCACGTTCAAAATTTTACTTCCCAAATCAAGAGCTTCTATTGTCAGCCTATTTTCTGACGCTTAACATAACTCAGGTGACATAATATGTCCGGCCATGATAAAATAAACATGTGAATGAGTTTGACTTTTCTTTTTTACGTTTTAATTCTTCTTTTGATCATACAGCATAATATGTTTTGTCTCATACGAACCCTAATCACTCCGGATCCAACATAACATAATTTAGCTATTACGAAAAAGTGACCATATAGTTAATTAACAAGTCACAATGTACCGCTCGTATTTCCAGCTTGATTAAGAGAGAATTCCCTTGATTGAGACTGAAGATCCGTTAAGCTTCCACATCGACACAAGCGTCTTAGTTCTCTGCGAATATCACTTTTCATGAATGCATATACCACCATATTAACGCACGAATTACAGTGTAACAGTAAGAAAGAAGTTAAACTGACTAAAGGACTTACTAAACGAAGCTTAAAATTCGCACAAAAAGAAATGTAGATGTTTAAACTGTAGCAAATAACAAATAAGAAAATCACTGATCCGAGAACCGCAATTGAAGTTGAATTTCTCCGGGGCCGTCGACGACGCTTGGATGAGACGCCATGTAAGTGAAGATCTTCACCCTGACCATGGTTAAAATTGATGTCTTTCATATGCGAGGCTGTTTGTCTCGCGAGTCTGCGAGAAATGAACAGTACACGGAGGTAAATGAATAACAGTACGACACACGAAAAAACACCGAAAAAAAGATCGAGTGCAACTCGATAGTATTTGTCAACCTTTTTCAGTTCAACGGAGTCACTAAACCACCAAATAAAACGCGCAAACGGCGCAATAAGAGAGATTCCCCACGCCATGCTTATTAGTGCGAAGACCCGTCCGCCTGTCATGAGAGATGTGTAACGTAAAGAATGTACAATCCCGATATATCTATCTATTGCCATTGCCCACAAGTTTAACGTGGAAGCAAAGAGTAGAAAATTGTAGAATGAGAACTGGAAACGCCAATCGCATTGATAGCAGAATGTGCAAATAAGTTCACTCGGCGTTGTAAACAAACCGACACAAAAATCAGCAACTGCCAAGGATAGCACGAACCAGTTGCTGCTTACACGCAGGCGTCGTTTAGAAACAACGAAGTAGATGACAAGTCCATTCCCAGCGATGCTTAACAATGCAATGATTCCTCTCAAAACCCAATACCAAACGTACGGTTGTTGAATACGAATGAATCCGCGCGTATGGTTGCTTGTTGCATTCGGCATGTCACTTTCTATTCTACCTATCACGAAGGTTGTCTTTGTTATTTAAAGATATTTCTAGTTTCTCTAAAAGAAACACACCTGTCAGCTGCGTTGCTTTTGGAAGATTGTCTAGAAGCTGTTTAAGGGCGGTAAAACAGTTTTACTGCTGTAACTACCTGGTCTCGCAAAATCAACTTTTTCTTTGTTTTTTTTTGTGTTTTTTTGTTTTTTTTTTCAGTACCCTTTAATTTTACAAACGTGATCATTAACACGCTATAGGCCAACTAGTGTTGTTGTTTATGGAAGAATGGTTACCAAAATGAGTCGGCAATCCTTTTTAGCGACTATAAAAGCTCACGAAATTAGGCCCTCTACAAAAAGTCCGAGGTTTCAGTGCCGCTCTTAATAGTCAGATTGCGATTTTCTGATAAGGATGATAGATAACTCGATTGGTAATATAAGAAAAAGAACTTGCCATTGACTCAGTGATCCGTTGGTAAACATTTGACGTTTTAAAATCAAAAGCGAAAGATTCACTTTGAACAAACTTTGTGGCAGAAAAATATTAAATTTACTTTTCTATTTCCTCCTCAACAGCCGGTTACGTCCGATTGGTCAAAGGGTCGGGGATTGAATTACCTCGAGTGGGCAGCCCAACAACAAACCACTGACTGAAATGTTTTTATGTCAATCAGGTGAACAAAAGCTCTGATAATTCCTTATCTAGACTATTGTCCACAAGCCTCATTCGTATTTAATCAGATGATGTTGGACCAGCTCTTGATATTTTGAAAAAGAATAGGTGGGGAAAGTTTTAAGTGTTCTCCGTGGCACCAATTATTTGATTCACAGGAAATAGATCTCAATGATGTTACAGATCCTTGCATGTATTCTGTAGATTGTATTATCCCTAAAGAAAAACATTAGTTAGGTGTTTTAAAATTTTTTTTTGAATAAAGAGAATTTGCACATGAATAAAGTTCAAATGTGATAATTATTTCCTTTGTCGAAGTCAACCTTAAGTTTTACACTTTACCTGATTTTCAAACTGAACTAAAATCATAATTAAGTTTTAATCTTTAGACAATCGCAGCACAAAAGGAAAAGAAAGTTTCACTCTGAGTACAAGGACGTCGCTCATCTGAGAAAGCGTGCGTCGTTTAAGAGAAGAATAGGCTTCCTCTCTAAATATGGATCGATCGGATAGCTACGAAAACAAAAACAAAAAAAATGATAATAAGAAGAACAATATACCGGATTTACTTCTTTTCAAATTCCGGTTCAGCTGTGAGGTTCAGCTTAGCTTCCCACGAATATGGTACTTGTGACTCAAAAGATAGTGGTCATTTCTCTCACGGCAAAGCATACCTTTTTCTCAATGAATGAAAAATAAACGATTTATGCACAACTCATCTACCATGAGATGGTTTATTTGGTTAAGGACGGAACAAGTTAAAATTCATTCTAGTCCGTGCAGACGTAATGATAGTACCTACGAGCTCAATCTACAAACCAGAAAATTTTCTTTAAGTTGATCAGTAACTGAAAAGTAGGTTTTAAAAAACGAATACTCTTATTCAATTTACTTTCGTATGATGCACGATCCTCGCAGTAGATAGCGCTATTTATGCAATAGCGAACATCAGACCTGAAAAAAATCAGGCCTGTACGGGACTCGAACCACTGACCTCTGCGATACTAGTGCAGCGCTCTACCAATTGAGCTAACAAGCCAACTGGGAGCAGGCCGTTAAGTTGATTCATAATAAACCCGTGAAAGTGATAAATGAGATACAATGAATATATGAAGTTCATATATTTTGAACTGCGGTGTTAGATACGTATGATGCACGATCCTCGCAGTAGATAGCGCTATTTATGCAATAGCGAAGATCAGACCTGAAAAAAATCAGGCCTGTACGGGACTCGAACCACTGACCTCTGCGATACTAGTGCAGCGCTCTACCAATTGAGCTAACAAGCCAACTGGTAGTTCAAAATATATGAACTTCATATATTCATTGTATCTCATTTATCACTTTCACGGGTTTATTATGAATCAACTTAACGGCCTGCTCCCAGTTGGCTTGTTAGCTCAATTGGTAGAGCGCTGCACTAGTATCGCAGAGGTCAGTGGTTCGAGTCCCGTACAGGCCTGATTTTTTTCAGGTCTGATTTTCGCTATTGCATAAATAGCGCTATCTACTGCGAGGATCGTGCATCATACGTTTCTAACACCGCAGTTTAAAATATATGAACTTCATATATTCATTGTATCTCAATTTACTTTGTTCCCTAATTTTATTTTTATTTTTCCGGCTGGCATTTAAAACAACAAAGAAAATTTTCACACGTTCATTTATGAGTACAAATATAAAAAATTTGATGCCAATGCAAAGATCCCAGTAAGAGGTAGACGAAATTTTTTTTACGAAGGTCAAACCTTTGACTGAGTTGTTGACAGCTGGTTTTTCGAAGTTACAGAAGAACATTTTGACGTTTTCTCTTTTGAATTATTTTAAAATTTATTTACTTTTTGATAAAATCAACTGTTTTAATCTGCAGTTTTGGTTATGAAACACGAGTATTCTTTTTTTTTAGGCATTTCGTTTTACCGATTGGTTTCAGTGACACATTTAAACTTGTTCCACAACTGTATGGACTAGCTAGGCTTCTCATTACGCCACTCGACTTAACTCCGACGTGTTGAATTTTTGTTTCGTTCCACTGTTTTATCAACGCAATTGGCAAAAACGCTGCCTGAACTCTGCTACCGTTCGGTTTAGTTTGATAACCGTTAAGGTGGCTTTTAAGGTGATTCCTCAGAAAAAAAAAGTTATCGAACAATTTGTTTGTAACCCCATCAATTTCTGAAAAAAAGATTGGTTACCGTGCCTTTTTGAGAGATATGGTGGCCAAACTCATCCCATTTATGCCTGTACTGGCACTAATCGCACGCGCAGGGGTTAACAGTACACTTTATGGTGGCTGGAAGCAAGGGTTTTTAGGAAAACAATTAAAAAAACCTTGATGGGTAGAAAGTCTCGAGCGTATGGAGAAATTTGATTATATAATTTGTGAAAAAAACCACGCAATTTTAAACGACATCGACTCAAACGTTCTTCGAGTCGTCGCTTTCAAGGTTATCATTGAGTAACGGGCCTTGTGAACGCTTTTAACTATATCTTTTTTCACTTCGAAAAATTTTTATGATGTAATAAAAGATATCGGTCACCGCGCTCGTTTAAAAGAAGATGACCATCCTACCTCTTTACCTGGTCCACGGTCTGAATGTAATACCGTGTTCTCGGAATGCGCGCGCTTATTTGCCTGATTATGTGATTTTCATGATGCGCAGTGCAATACTGAGAAACTGATTGAAATGTATACACGAAGTTTCACAACTAAGTTTTGAAAAAAAAAAATCATGACTATGGGAGCTACGAGTTTTACTCGAAAACTTCGAGTATACATAAGATTTGCTTACCTCACGAGGTGATTCCTTCCATTCCTCTATTCACGGTCCCATTTGAACTAAGCTAGCCTGGTTAATTAAATAAATAAATGTATAATTCAACTGAAGTTAACACAAACGATCATGAATTATGATGAATTCAGTCTGGTGCGACTCGTTATAAATAATCGATGTTTGTGTTATTCGAAACCACAGAAATAGCAATATATATTTACTCACAAAGTACAGTACTTCCAAATAGCCTGGGAAAACGACGAAATGGTCTCAACCTCTGCCATGAAGTTGGCACGGAAATTACTACTTCGTTTGTTATACCTGGAAAATTTTGATGGTATTTCAGTAAATGGTTTGAACCCGGGGGTAACATGTCAAGGTGTAGTCTGATCGTCCGGGTGAGTGTAGTCCTGAGAAGGACTGTTGTCGGTGGTAGTGACTGACGTTTCGACAACCTGTGCGAAAGTCATCATCAGAGTCAAGTGAATGATTGATGTCAGTAGAATGTTCTTATTCCAGTTCGTGTGAAATGATCGGTTGGTTTTGCCGTGATGTTATTGGCTGTAAGACTCAAGTGACGTAAGTCGGTCGTGATTGGTCTGTTTCGATCTGTCGGTAAAGTTAGGTTGTTCTTTTTCGGTCGTTTGTGATGTTTATGTCGTGAATCAGTCGTTTGTATGGAGCGGGTAGTTGTTGACATCTGTTTAGGGGAGTCTGTTCTAAGTTAGTAAACCAGCTTTCCAGAGTCAGTCGTTGAAAATAGTCAGTGCTGTAGGTTAGGCATTGCGCAGAGTCCCAGTCAATGTTGTGGTTGGTAAGTCGATGGTGTTCAGCAATGTGATTGCTGACATCACCTTTCCTCGTCGCCCGTCTGTGTTCAGTCAGTCTTGTTGTGAGGTTTCTGCCAGTCTCACCGATGTAGGAGGCTTGGCAGTCGGAACAATTGATCTTATAAATCGTTCCCTGTCTGTTCCTCGGTTCGTCTTTGTCTTTAACGTTGGTTAGTAACTGACGTAGTGTGGTGATGGGTTTGTGGGCGACGCGGATATTGAAGGGTAGTAAGATGCGCGAGATGTTTTCAGACATGCCTTTTATGTACGGTATGGTTGCTGTAGTCGTAGGGGTTGCGGTGTCGTTTGTTTCGGTAGTGGTAGTGGGTCGGTGAGTGTTTCGTCGGATGAAGTCGTTGTTGTAGTTGTTCTTCGTAAAAACACGGTGAAGGTATTTGTTCTCGTCGGATAAGCTGTCTGTCGAGTCACATACTAGTTGTGCGCGTCGTGTTAGAGTTCTGATAGTTGTGGCTTTGTGTGATGTAGGGTTGTAGGATGACTCGTCTAGTAATTAACTTAGAACAGACTCCCCTAAACAGATGTCAACAACTACCCGCTCCATACAAACGACTCATTCACGACATAAACATCACAAACGACCGAAAAAGAACGACCTAACTTTACCGACAGATCGAAACAGACCAATCACGACCGACTTACGTCACTTGAGTCTTACAGCCAATAACATCACGGCAAAACCAACCGATCATTTCACACGAACTGGAATAAGAACATTCTACTGACATCAATCATTCACTTGACTCTGATGATGACTTTCGCACAGGTTGTCGAAACGTCAGTCACTACCACCGACAACAGTCCTTCTCAGGACTACACTCACCCGGACGATCAGACTACACCTTCACATTCATGGTATTTGTCTCCAGTTTGATATGATGGCCATCTTAGGCTGTGGCCTCAGTGGCCTTTTGTGGGGAATGTCGCTTGTTAAATGGTTGCGGGCCTAATTGTCTCGAATTTCTTTAAATACGTCGAGTCGAAGTTTCTTAAATCAAGTATGAAGCAATATTTATCGTTCTAATCTACAGGGGAGGTATTTAATTAAAACGTACTGGGCTATTCACCCTTCGAACAACCGGGGCCAGGATGACAAGAATCTTCGCACTCGACACTAAACCGCCTTTTTGTGCATCAAAAAAATGTTATGAACATTTCCCTCTTTTTTATTCTTTCAAACGCCGATTTACCACAGAGTTTCCGTCTTGAAGTGTACGGTTCCTTTTCAACCGATACCATTAATAGGACTTATCCGCTGCATAGTTATTTATCTGTTGCATAACGTCATCCGCTCTTTGAACAACCGAGCCTTATTTAAAAAAAGTTTATGAGCGCGTTGCAGTTTCCATGGCGCACACAATAGCTAAGTTGGAAATACGTTTCTATGAAGCGTATCCCTTTTTTGCGGATATATCTAAGTTAGAGACTTGAGAGGCATGGTTTATCAGGTGCCTGAAAAAGTTTAGAGAGCGTTGTTCTCTTACACAGTCCTATTCGCCTTTTTAAGGTTGCGTGGGGAACTAAGTTTGAATGAGTGCCGAAAAGCTTTCTGGGACTGGTTTAGGGGACGCGTCCGCCATATTGTTTAGATTAAGGACACTGCGATTAAAAAAAAAAAAATGGTTAAAGCAAACCGCTGTGTGCCTGGATGCACAAATATTTGGAGGAATTCACCTACAATGAAGTTCCACACATTGCCAAGTGACCAAAAAGTTAATAACATGTACAAAAAGCTGATAAGAAACAAAACGCTAAAGCTGAACGCTTTACAGTGCGATCGTCTGGGTAAGTGTCTACATTGTCGTTCGAGAGGGAGCGAGTTGAGAAGTGCTGAATTTCTTATTTTAGAGTTTGATGCTTATCAGTACGGTGCGCGTTTCAGGGTTGGTCATGCGCACAGAAACTGTCCACCTCAGCACGGGGAGAACACACAAATCGTGTGTAAGGGGGAGGGAAGTCAATAAGTTATGGAAGTTACGGCTTCCAGTCTTGCATCGAGTGTTATGTAAAGACTTCTATGATGAAACCATATCTGAACGTCTTATGGACGGTTTAATAAATTATACACACTTGGTGAGTCGGTTTGAACAGAAGCTCTTTTCTTTCCCATTTTTGCATTTTTTCTGTGTGCATATGTTTTTCCAAAAAACATGGTGTCAGAAAAAATGGGTATCGTTATCATGTGTAACTAGAGCATGTCAGAACTGTGCTGTTGGTCAAAGGAACTGAGGCTATGAGAGAACTACTACTTTTCTCCTCGGGATTTAGATCTTCAGCGTTGCTCAAAACGATATAAGCACATTTTCCCATCAATGCTGAATCAAAATAGTTGTTTAATGGCGAAGTTTGGACCGAGTGGTAATGAGGTCTCAAAAATGTCACTTTCACCAAGTAGTACTGCGCTGAAATGAGGATTGTTTAGTTGTGTTATCATTGGCCTATTTCGATCCTTATTATACAATGCAAAGATCAAAATGGGCCGATTAGAGCAAAAAAAAGTGCTACGTATCTTCAAATAGTGACCCTTGATTATTTGATTCATCACCTGACAAAGACAAGCTGTTCAGAAATTGAAACGTGCCGTTTAACATTTGATGCAATGGTGACTCTACATAGTGAGGCAAACTGAGTAAAAAGTCCATTTAAGAGTTACATGATCGAAAACATTAAGAGAATCAAACAGCCAACCATCGCAGGACGCTTTTTTGTGAAAAACTGCAAATAAAGATATGGAGATGGTTCTAGAATCCACATGAAAGTGATGACTGCGGCTGTTTCATCCTTCAGCTTATAAGCGTCCAGAAAAATTGTCATTTGCTGAAATTAAACAAATCTTGATTAGGACAATTAAGTGTTAAAAGCATAAGGTTTAAAGTGCAGTGAAGTCTGACAAACGTTACTACAAAAATGGCGCTGGTAGGGGGAGGGGGCTCCTAAGAGCTTCCGGGGTAAATGTAACCTCTACCCCCCCTCCCTTCTGATATAAGATATTGATTATACAAACGATATAATCGCTCCGACGAAGGGCTAACGCTCGAAACGTCAGCTTTTATAATCGTAACGGTGGCCAATTTACCATTTCAACTTTGTTGATATATTCAAACTATTTCGATAAGTAAAAGAACCTGTCAAGACTCAAAATGCCAGTAACACAGTAATGTAAAACAGACTCTTGGGAAATATTACAGACACCTTTAAATCAGTCTTGACAAAGGGGCCAGTAAAAGGTGTCGTATTAACGACCTTTGTCGACCTTTGTCGAATTAACGATCTTTGGGTAACAAAACGACGTGCCGACTGTTCACAGGGTAAGCTAAAGTGGTCTTTAAAACGGGCTAATCAATTCCACCACGTGGTTTCATTTCTGTAACAGATGCGCTGAGGCAGATTTTATTCCCAAAAAAATACCCGTTTTTCAAGTGAAGCCCCTTCTAAATTTGATCGGTAACAGTTATGCGATAGCACTATTTTAAACACACGGAAGACGTTGCACTTTTGCTTAAGAAAAAATAGTAGGAAGCTTTCGGTATAAATTTGTAACAACTGAATAGGAGGTGATTTAGGTTTACCTTTCACACATGATTTCTCTTCATCTTCCTGAGGAATGTATCCTCGAGGACAGTGCCAAACGCAAAACAGTCTACCACCTCGCACAACATTAAAAAGGCCCTCCTTACATTTCTTACACTCCCGGCGACTTAAGCATTTCTGACAGTTATACGAGCACCCTCAAAACACCAAAAGAAAAATCCAAAAGTTAGTAAAATTTATCAGGCTTTGACGTTATATGGTCCAGGAAGGGAGTTTAGACATTTTGTTTGTTCAATTTGAAAAATCAAAATAAAGCGTGAAAGATATTGTCTGAAAGGTAACTGGAGCAATGGTTCTAGTTTCAAAGCAGCTACCCATCCCTCTCTCTCTTTGTTCTTCATCTTTCTTTATCTTCGCGTATAGGGGAATCCTTGTTTACAATATTTGGCTCATTAGCATAAGCAATTCAGTTTCTGATGGAGCTAAAAATAAATCAGTTCTGAATATCGAAAGGTCAAAGTACGATTAACTCGGCCAATGAATACGAGCCTGATGCATTGAATACTTTTTGTGCAACACGGGTTTAAAAACTCAAAATTTTACATAGAATGTATGAGCTCATTAGCGCTTTTGCCACCCAGAAATTTTGCAGTTTTTGAGGACTATTTCTCCTTGAATATTACACCCAAAGAGCTAAAAATTTCACCATGTACTAAGGTTTTCTAGCTCTTTAGCTGCCTGAAGTCAATTTGTATCTAACATGCTTCCTTCTTTACGCAAAGCCGTATGCAAATGAGCAAAAATGTAAACAATGACGTCAGCATGAATCCGCCTATAGTTCCTATCAGATGTTGTTGTTGTTGTTGTTGTTATTGTTGCTTTTTTTGACGTTCTTAATACTTACGTCCGCAAACCCTTGGTTTCCCCTCTCTCTCAATCTCAAAATATCCTTGTGGACATTCTTGGCGACAGTGGAAGTCTCTCCTGATACGAACTCGATACCAACCATCCTGGCAGTGTGAGCATGTTTTGTCCAGGCAACCACGTGTGTCTAAGTACACGAGTAGAAAAAAAAAAAAAAATTAATGTTAAAAGCACCCTTCATTAAGGAGCTTGTAGCTTTGTAAAACGTCTACTATATTACGACTGACTCTTTCGCTTGTTCTGTCGATTTACCTTTTCATTCATTTATCTATTCATTTTTGGCTGCGGAGATGGGGGAAGGTTTTACTGAATGTGTCAACAAACTAATCTCAGAGACCAGCCCGTCTATCTTATTTTGCTGATCTATCTCCTACACGAACGGGAAAGTTCAACAAACTAATCTCAGAGACCAGCCCGTCTATCTTATTTTGCTGATCTATCTCCTACACGAACGGGAAAGTTCAACAAACTAATCTCAGAGACCAGCCCGTCTATCTTATTTTGCTGATCTATCTCCTACACGAACGGGAAAGTTCAACAAACTAATCTCAGAGACCAGCCCGTCTATCTTATTTTGCTGATCTATCTCCTACACGAACGGGAAAGTTCAGTCAGTTCTGGTCCCGAATTGGTAACAATCAGTTTAATCTCTCTTAAGATAATTTGATATCACTTCTTGTAATTGTTTTAAGAAATCCGAAGGGGATCAGAAAAAAGCTAATTTTGTTTCGCAAATGTTTTACACTGAGGAAAAATTAGGAAGTGAGGATGACGCTTAAGGGTATAGCATTCCATATCGGCTTAATGTTGATTTCCTCTTGGTTCATCGCTCACAAGGTAAAAAAAAAATGATCTATTCCTCGCTTACCTTTGTTGCACACTTTACCAGAGTCCAGACTATAACCAGCAAGAAATCCGGCTGGACAACTGAGTAAGCACTTGGAAAAAACATCCTTGATGAGGTAGAATTCACTCTCACACACGTCGCAATTGTACGAGTCTTGACAACTTTTGCAATTTGCTCTGCACACTAGACCATAGAGAGAGAGATTGTTTCTTAATCTACTTTTCCTTCCTTTAATCTTTTAACGTACCACGTGCGACTTTCAACAGCTATATATCTCTTCGTACACATAACCCATTATTTCCCCTTCTCCCTTCCTTGGGGCCGGAGGGGAGAGGAGAAAATCCGTGCTGTCGACTCGCGAGGAGATGTTTGACAATCCAGCTTTCTCGTGACACTGTTTTAGTTTTCGCAGCGAACAAATTAACGTTTCAAAGTTATGAGCCTAACTTACATAACACTTCAGAAGCCAATCCCGGTTTTTGAGGCAGAAGTTACCAGGAGTGTATCTTCTCTCTTTGATCCAATACAAATAAACCATCGGTATTCCGTCAGGTTTTCCTGACAGTTCACTGGCACCCTCTTATAAACCCGGCTTAAGAGAGGCACTGTGACGGCATCGTGTTTTGCTCAGAGAGAACACAACACACTGACTCGGCCAGCCCGAGAAGTTTAGGGGCAGAACCTTCCGATATCAAGTCCAGCACGATTACTATCAAACAATCGCTAATCTTTTGCAGAATGAAAAAGACCAGGATTGGAATAATTCTTTGAAGAAGAAAAGCCAATTAAGAGCTAACTGCCTTTCTCAAAATCACGACATAGCCAAGAGTCAGGGTTAAATCAACACATTCTGTTTCTTACTTTCACAATACGGCTGACCGTTGTACATGTCTTCTTTCCTAAAGAACCCGGATGGGCAGTTAGACAGGCACTTGGTTCCTTGTTTGTACTGCAGAACCCAACCATCTTGACAGCGAGAACAGAAGAAGTCTTCGCACATCTCTGTAAATTAAGACGAAAGATACCACCGATCGAACCATTTCTTAATCCCAGTACAGAGGATAGACCTTTTAAAAATTTATGAACAACTCCATAGCTCACCTGGCTTGCATCTTGTCCCGTGTTTTACAAACCCAGCGGGACACGAAGCCACGCATTGAACCTTGGCGCCAGTCCCTGGCTGCATAAGTAGATACCCGTCCTCACATCTGTCGCAAATGTCATCAAACTGTTCCTCACACTGGGAACAATGCAGTATCCTGCTGCATCCTGTTTGTAACCAAGACATAGAATTAGATCATCCATACTGGAAGACGATATGGAAGAAGAGTCGTCGTCCCTCAAAATACTATGACCTAAAATTCGTGAATCCAATTATAAGATTAGACTATTTTTAGGGCTGTTTATTAGAACGAAGATTGATTTGGGTCGCGGTTTTAAACGAAGAGACCTCGAGATAACCACCTTTAAGATTTGTGTTAAACGGCTTGATACTTTCTTTGTTATAAAAAGGATTATGTGTGATGCATAATCATATATATTCATATATACATTGTACCAAAAAGGATTATCTCAACAATTTTTTAGAAAAAAACATTTTCCTGAGAGTGTCTTTGCATTAAATTATAATGCTTGTACCTTTGGTTGTTCTACAGATGACGCCATTGTCCTCAGTTCGTATCTCAGTGAAGTCGTCTGGACAGTTGTCCACACAGCTTGCACCCCAATAACTTTCAAGCAAAATTTTGTCGTCCTGGCATCTTTGGCATGTTCTGTGGTCGAGACACGACGCACAATTTGGTACGTTAACACTGCAAACTGAAATGCGATCAGAAGAGCATAAATTCTGATTTAAACAAGGGAACAGGAGTAGCTTTTTTCTTGTTTCAGTTTAAAGACTGCAAATTTAGATATTGAACCTTTTTGTGACGGTAAAACTTCAAACTTCTTCGGTATTTGCTGCGGCATAGAGGTAACTAGCTAGATCATCGTTAAGTTCATGTGTACTTGGGTTGTTTGTATTATATTCATCTCATAAAATGTTATTTTGACGCTATGGCAAATGGAATTAAGTGTTCAAGAGGGAGTGAGTGGGAGGTTCTTAAGAAGGCAGAAAGGAATAGACATGTCCATTTTTATTTGTGTATAATGAGGTGTCTATCGTAAATATATTCTAGAATCTTTCAAAATCCTGAAACCTTACATAGCTCGAAATGTCTTCTTACTTTTCGAAACAGTAGGAGGCTAACAGATCATTTTGATCGTACAGACACCTTTCACCGCCTTTTTTAAGCAAACTAAAAAATAATGTGGATAACTAACTTATAAGAGACAGTGGGGCCATCTCGTGTAGGTCAGTTACCCCTTGACTTCGATTATTTGGAAAATAATCGTTTTTAACGATGATCTCGATTTTACAGACTTTTCTAGAGATAAGAGATCTAGCGCAATGATAACTGAAAAACCCACTAAACGCAATTTCCATTAAGGTCAAGTAAAACGACACGTACAAGGATAAAGAGTAGGATCAAAACTGCTGTGCTAAGAAATGAATTTACCCCGGCTGCATGTTTTGTTTCTTTACCAACAAGATGCTCAAAAGGCACTGAGACGGTTTGATGGAGAAAAATGCATACTGCAAAGGGTTGAAAATGTAACTTTTGACAGTAAAAGGTCTTTCGTTTTTCAACTTTTTCCGGAAGAATTCAGTTTCATTTCAGTTGGAAGCAATTTGATGCAAAGTCACTTATGACCTCATCTGGTATTTCTATATCTTCTAAAGAAACGAGAAATGGGCTTGTCAACCCTAATCTGTCGGTGAAAAATACCTCCATGAACCGGTTGCCAAAATTAAGAAAAAAATAAGGAAAACAACAAAATTCCAGAAAAAAAAAAAAAAAAACTGCGTTGAGAAAACATAAATCTATTAAATTTTCTGACCTGCATGAAGCGAATCCCAAGATTTCGTCTTTTAAACGGACTTAACGAGAGAATTGAAAGATATGGGAAGGAACCGTCCAGGTGATCTAAACCGACGACGCTATATATTTGAGAGGTTTATATCTTTTACCTTGATTGTTCAAGAGCAAAGGAGGCAGGTGTGTTTCTCTGGACTCACTTTTCATGTTCTCCATAGCTGCTGCTGGTCTGTTTGCAACGAAACCGGCCCAAAGGAGACAAATGACGAGAGCCTTTCCTTCCATGTTGACGATGTTGGTTCCTTGCAGTCGTTTTCTCTCACAGAAATCATTTGTTGAACTGCGTATCCTCCCTGCCTATGCACCTGAAGACAAATGGACCGCAGGCAGTTCTGTTAATTAAGTAAGAAGGGTTAGCAGCTATATATTACGTGCTTATCACATCCTCTTGTCAAGGATACTAACATTAGTGTCAATGCGGTTAATTAAAACTGGCGCCATCAGAAGCGAATTGTTTTTCCTTTTCTAAAATGGTGTTTAGGAAATTTTACTTCTTAAGGATACTCAACGAGAATACTTTTTGTGGTACAAAGCAATATGCAATCGTAATTAACACTTTCCAACGACTATTTTTAATTTCATTTGTTTTGATGAACTCCCGGAGAATCAGAAAAATCTGGTGGTGTCATATTTTTTTTCTAGATGTTTCATTCTTGACGTCAAAAAAAAATTAAGGTTGATAATCGTAGGAAATTCTTGACAGATCTCACAAATTTCATTTTACGATGATGCAGATAAGAAGAACCATCGGTGATTATTGTTACCTAAGGTAATGAGTCTTAACTGAGCTGAAAGTGGGGATTTATTATGTCAGGCATACTCAGACCAACACAGTTCAGATTGCTTGACTCAGCTACTTACCTTTCGCATAAAAGCCTCTCATTTTTTATCTTAAAAGGTCATTTATAAATGAGAAAGTTCTAGCTTTTGTTTATCTGACATTTCTTTCAGGCCGATCGTAGTTAGCTTGTTACGCGATTCTCAAAAGAGCTAATTACAAACAGTCAAGTAAACGGGATCTGGCTAGAAAGGAAGGGACTAGCCCTTGTGATCAGCGCCTTCCTCAGTCATATTTGTCTTCGATGCTGGTATAGAATAAAAAAAAACAAAAATTTGTCTTCCCCAAAGATCATGTTTGCCATTAAAATTATCATTCTAATCTGAGAAATTAATTTTTATTCTATACTGATTCTACATAACTCATTCAAGCCTATTTTTCCCCGACCAGTTTTATTTTTTCTCAGTTGCGTTTTGTTCAAAATGTGTAAGCTTTCCATCTTATGAGGTTTGTTTTGTTTTGCTGTTGTTGACGGTCTTGTCTTGCTTCCTCAGACAGGGTGAAGTATATTGTAATTTCTATTATGCTTTCAGAACCCACTCTGTTTAAAATTGAGAGGTCATAATTTTATCGGCTGGCAATATAAGCGGCTTTTTTGTCAATCATAACGAACAAACAATTGACTGATTTAACACAAATCGGAACTGGAATATTGTGGTTGTGCATTATAGATAAGGTTTATGAGGTCATGCACGTAAGCCAGACAAGACGGACGCAACTGCAAACGCAGCTTTAACACTATTGAAAACACTACTTAAATATTTTTTTTCGCAGCGATCCCTTGAAACTTGAAAATTATAAAATTGTATTTTTTCCAAATCTCATAATCAACTGTGATTTTAAAAAAAAATGATCATTCAACTGCGGGGTACTCTGAAGAAAAAAATAAAAAGAGGTTGAGAAAAAAAAATAGAAACGCTGTATAGATTTGTCGGCAGGATGAAATGTGAAACGCATTTCAAACGTCGAAAGACCTTTTTGCAACCCAACTGCGTTGTAATATGATTTCATTCTACTTCACCTCTTCATTTGTTGCCCCAAATAGGAAATATTCGATTCAGCATGTTCAGTTTGGCTTTGAGTGCACGTACTCATCATATCTTTCTGCTCGATCTCAATCTAATTGGCCTTTACCACTTTACAAAACTCCTCACTTTCAAGATGAGAGGAAGTGAGAAACCAACCCTGAAAAAAATATTTTTATTTGAACGAGAATGATCTATTATTTCCGTGCCGAACGGTTTACACTCATCCTCTTTTTAAAACAGTGGCTTTGGAATGTAAGAAATGGCTTGTACCAACTGACTGGTCTTGTGTGTCACCTCTTCATCCCCAGTACTAGTACCTTCAAAATCTTGGATCATAAAGAGCCCAAGAACATGAACCCAATAGACCGTTTGAAAACAAGTTAGACTGGCTCTAAAGGCTTGTGCACCACTTCCCCTATCCCCTCCCCACTCAGTATATTTTATGAAGGTTAGGGGCGGTTGTGCACCGGCTTGGCTTTATTTGAGTCTCAGCTTGTTTTTAACGCATGCGCTGATCTCTCCTGAAAATCAAACCTTTCGTCACGTGCAAAGGAAGCTGGGTCACATGTTCTGGTCTTTCAACAGGAGGTGAAACATCAATATAATTAATCATTAATTTTTATTTTGTATTTGCGTCTTTTGTTTGTTGTCCGTGTCTTTGATTTTCTGTATCCGGTTTGATTTCATTCTTTTCCTAAGGTTACCATGCGGGTGGAGAATTATTAAGGTAAGAGCATTAACCCTTCACCGTTTCCACTTGAAATCACAGATAAACAATCCAGTTTTTTTGCGGAACCTTTACCGTTAAGTTTTTCAGCTTGAAAAGCGGGTAAAGCAGTATACAAAGGCATTTCTATTTAATAAGGTTATTTTAGCGCAAATTGAATTATTCAATTTTCTATTGGCTATTTGTTTACTTTTGACAATGAAAAACTGCGATAAAATATTATAAAGCATGACACGACGTTTCGACGTTTCCAGAACGTCATTATCAAGTAAACTAAAATTATAAAATCGAGCATACATATTTTATTACATTGGCATCCATATACGCACGTACACCCGTGCGTACAGTTGAAATCTAGAAAATATGTTTTTTTAGTCCCTTATAGCATTTGTCACAGTTATCATAAAATAAATAATAAATAATATATAAAAAAGCATTTATATAGCGCTAAGCTCGACTAGTTCTCCGTAGCGCTTTACAAAATTATAGACTAATCAACATAGCAATTAAATTATAAAAAATCGTAAATTAAAAAGCGTCTTTGAACAAGTATGTTTTAAGGTTCTTCTTGAAAATTGCAACAGATTCAGATGTTTTCAGGCAATATGGTAAATCGTTCCAAAGCTTGGGACCGGAAATAGAGAAGGCACGGTCACCATAGTTCTTTCGAAATGTTCTTGGAACCATCAGGAGCATTTGTGATGAGGAACGCAGTACATGAGAGCCATAATTCCTTTGATGCAACTGTTCAGCAATATAGGTTGGAGCTAAGCCACGTAAACCTTTATAGACAAGTAGAAGTATTTTGAAGATAATGCGATACTTAACAGGTAGCCAATGGATTTTCTTTAATGCAGGTGTAATATGTTCCCATTTCTTTGTCAAAGTAATAACTCGCGCAGCAGCGTTCTGTATAGACTGTAGCTTGTTACTCATATAGTCAGGTAGTCCATAAAGAAGGGAATTGCAATTATCCAACTTAGATGTAATGTAAGCATGAATCACAATTTCAGCAGTTTCCGGACTGAGATATTTTCGTATCTTACTTATGTTCCTTAGGTGATAGTACGAAGCTTGACAGACTTTTTTAACTTGCTCATCCATTGTTAGATGTTGATCGAAAAACACTCCTAAATTTCTTGTAGATTGAGCTGGGCTAATCTTTTCATCACCAACTTCAGAAAAATTGAGTACAGGACTTGACGAAACCTGGAACTGATGAGTAACAATTCGGTTTTATCTTGGTTGAGCTTCAAACCGTTCTATATCATCCATGAATCAATTCCACTTTAGATTTAACTGTTGATAGTTCATCTTGCGAACTTGAGAAGAAAGACACATAAATTTGCGTGTCATCAGCGTATAAATGATATTGTAGACCATAGCTCTTAATAATATCAGCTATTGGAGAAGTATATAGTACATACAATAATGGGCCCAAAACAGATCCTTGTGGAACACCATGTACCAATTTGCGTAACGTTGACTAACAGGTTTGAATTTGTGCAAACTGTTCACGGTCTATGAGATAAGACTTAATCCATTGGATTACTTTTCCTTTTACACCAAATCTTTGCTCTAGTCTTGACAACAGTATAGAATGGTCTACTGTATCGAAGGCCGCAGATAAGTCTAATAGTAGCAAAACAATAGAATGGTTTGTATCAACAGCGCGTAGGATATCATTCTGCACTTGAACTAAGGCGGTTTCTGTAGAATGGACAACTTTATAGGCAGATTAAATAGGACCGATTTTTAAATTTCGAATTATACTGGCGTGTGTATTTGTTTTTCCAGTACCTCTTCATTAATCCATAAACGACAAGAAACATTATTTGGCTTCCTAGACTTGTCAATTCTTTGAAGCCAACACCCTTTTAGCTTTAAAACTATAGAGATAGGGGAAATAAACAACTAACTGCTGCATTTTCCGTCGCATTTATCATGATAAAAAAGTTCTGCGGAAATAGTTGGAAATGGCATTTCCAAGACCCTATATTTCAAAATGTTCTGGGGGAGCATGCCCCCAGACCCCCCTATTTTGAGGCGCCTGTGCGTACACCTTCAAAATCTCACACTACGCCCCTGAACTGCTGTATTTTCACTCAGTTTTTAAACTATTTATTTCTTTCAACATGTCCAGCCAAACTTTAAAAGCGCACCTTTAACTGATAAGCGACCTTCTCAAATAATGCAACCTGTCAGAAAACGTGGTATTCCCCATTTTGAAAAGTGACACATTGATAATCGTCGCGCAATGTTAACAGGTAAGACAGGTTACGATGATAAAAATGATTAAAATATGTACTCTCATTGCCAGACCTTCCACGGCCAAACGGTTGTAAGGTCCAACATTTCAGTTACAGTTACACGATAGAACCTGGGCACGAGATTACTAAATTTAATTTTCAGTTACATGGTAGGATCTGGGAACGAGATTACAGCACGTGTTCATCACCAGTGGCGGATCAAGAGGGAAGGAACAGAGGGTCTGAATCCCCTTCCCCCTCTCCCCCCCCCATCCTTATCAAACCTTTGGGTTTATTTTACAACTCGTCTGATACCAAATTCTTGCAAAGACACGATCACATATCACTATTATAGGGCCAGCTTTTATATATTTATTTTTGGTGGCGGAAGAAGGGAGGTGGAATAGGGTAGCTCAAGGATAAATCTAAAAATTCCCATATCTGCACCTCATCTCTGATTATTTAAGGCACTATAAAGGAGTTAGTGGCTCCTCACTTTTATTATCACCCGTCAATGTATCGCGGGTATACAACTTATACACTAGTTGTTACGTTACTGCATTCTAATTCTAAAATCCTGGGAGGAGCTATTCTTTCACAGTATAACTGGAGATTTGAACTTTTTTGAGATGAAATCTCCCCTCGTTTGTCGAACTTTCTTGGAATGACGATGCAATGATGATTATACATAAGTTATTTCTAAAAAAAGACAAAACTTTTTTGCCTTTTCAGATACTTTTTTTTTTATCAGAGGCAGCTAACCCTACCATCAGTGACATACATATATCTTATTATTAACCAAGCGCGAGGGCCTTACTGGGAGAATATCGGCCCGAGGTCCGTACAAAAAAGACCGAGGGCCGATATTCTTCCAGTACGTTCCCGAGAAAGCTTGGTTAATAAGAGATTTATTATACGACTGAAGTTCAAATGGATGTAAGTGCGGTATCATTCGAGTCAGTGCCCGGTCCAATACTTAGAGAATATTGACCGGCAATAGAACATTTTGATTGGTTGATTTTAGTTATTGGCCCTATGACTGCCCGAGTCGTGTAATAAAAGAAATTAAACGTTTAAGGAGGAAAGGCATCATCTGACATCAAAGCATACAGTGTTCTCGGGAGCTGAACTTCTTCTTTGTCGTTGTTGTCCTTGTTGTTATGTGTGGTATCGGCTTAATACGTCTAATTTACGAAGAATACACTTAAACCAATAATTGTCTGTTCAACGCTTTCCATCATTTTTTAAACGACCTGTTTCCTTGCCCTACAATAATTAGTTAGTTAGTTAGAAATAGCAAGTCTGTGCTGTGGAAGAATAGTTTAGCGTCTCTTATGATGGCCTAATTGGAAGGGAAGGAGAGAGTTGGGTGAGAAAGAGTTTAAGTTAGTCTCACAACTTTAAATGGTTTACTACTTACTATAAACTTGCTAAATCATCATTTGGGAATTCTTTCCAAAATGAATATGGTTTATCTGTCTAAAATGGGGATACTAAGCTGACCTGACTGGACCTTCAGCGAATTAGAAGCTAGTTAGTGGGCTTGTACAACTCAAATATCCCGAGGTATTCTCATCACTGTTTATCTCTCGAATGGCGCTGAAAAAAGCTCTGAACAAATTCCCAAATAAACGTTTCACATGCATGTACTCTAGAACATCTGCTTTAAACTAGTTGCAAAACACAAACAAACAAACAAACAAACAACAAGCCAAACTCCCATTTTTAGCAGCTATCTAACTGGACATGCATGTTCCCTTTTTTTTTTCTTCCACGTTTATATATAGGTCTGATGCATGGCGGAGAGAGGCTGGGCCCGCCCTGGTCTGATGTCATCACAACAGCGTCAGCTTGGTCGTGTGATCCTGTATAGAAATAAATATCTTATTACGTACTACACAACAAAACGTCTAATAAGAGATTTATTATCCAAGACGCCAAATTGTTATTTCGGTGCGGGCGAATTTCGTGGATATTTCTGGAGTACAAATATCGCGTGATATTTGTACTCGTCTCGCGCGTTATTTGTACTCTACGAAGCACAGTTGGATAGTAAGGGAAAATACTACTCAGATTTGAGTGGAGAGAGGGCATTGAATCATCAAGAAAGGTCAAACCATCTCCAGTTGATAAAGATATCCGACGACCTTTGAGGAGCATGCAAGCGTAACGGAGTATGAGAAAAGGCTCACCTTCAAAATTAGACTTTGAATAATAATTTTACAGTTGGCGTCGCACCTATTTGCACCTCACCAGGTAACATGCTCATACAATGAACAATAAGGATCTTAAAGGGGTGCCCTTTGCCAAAGGCTCTGTTGGCCTCTTTTAGCATTCCATTTGTATGGTATTTCACAAACCTTTTAAGTGTACAGACTCTTCCGGTTTTGTTGTTACCATGGCTCGTGTAGCCAAAGGGGCAGCTTGTCATACAAGACGTGTGCAAACCCTGGACAAGTTTAAAAGTTCCCGGATCACACTTGCTGCAGTCAAAACCGTTCGTACATTCTTCACATCGGGCTAAGCATCCTATGCAAATTACGTAGAAAAAGGAGAGAATATGTTGTTGCTAGTCGACAATTTAGCGAATAACTTGACCAAACGTTTATCTCAACGTATTTTGAATTCATTACCTCTGTATTATTTTGATAATTTACTTCGTTTTTAATGTAATTGTTTTCATTTTTTACTGAAAATACGTTAAGTTACCATCTGCCCTCGGCTTCGAAGTAGTGAGCCTTAGAAATCCAGTTGGTGAATCTCCTGAGTGCTTTCATATAAATAACCTCCCCTTTATTACAACTGGCTCCAAAGTGAAGGAAAAACTCAAAGGTCTTAGAATCGTCACTGCATGGTCATTTCTTTGTGAACCAATCTCTATGTCATTGCTTGGCAACCAGCTTAACATATAGTTTTTGTACTTACGGAGACAGAATTTCTGTTTTTTTCCCAGAGTGTAAAAGCCTTTGGGACACTTGCGCTGGCAATGTCTTTTGTTGTAATTGACGCGATACCAGCCTTCCTTGCATGCCAAACAATACTCGTCAGAGCATCCGTCTAAAAGACGATAGAAACGACGTCGTTGAAGTGTTTGTAAATAAAATGGGCAATTTAAGATAATTTTTGATAACAGAGCGAGGTAGACAGTTGCAAACCTACTCGCCAATAAATCACAAGCTACAATTAAACACTCATCGATCGCTTTGATCTGTGTTACCTTCCTTAATCCGTTGGCATCTCCTTCCTCTCCTATTAAACCCTGGTGGGCACGAGGAAACACACTTTGCGCGGGACAACGGATTTGTTTTGAGCTTGTAAAACCTTGGCTCACATCTGCGGCAATTGATCTTGTCAGGGCATCTCTCACAGTTTGAAACTAGTCGGCACTCTTTCCATACCAAAGAAATAAAAGACAAGAAATTTGTACCATACGTAGGCTGACCTGGGTTAACATTTAAAGCCCACTTAATATTTTTAATAGTTTTGAAATTCATCGTGGCTTGTTTGAGCTCAGACCAACCATTGATGAAAAATTTTTCCCGTTTAGTGCGAACGGTTAAGAGAAAAAAAAAATCATAATTAAGTTATTCCTCAGTATTCCTGGTGTAGAGTGTTAAGTCCGATTGACTGTACTTTCGTGTATGCGCTAATTGGCGTAACAACTCAGGCGGCGTAGTGTTGGGGAAAAAAAAAGTTATCATGATTAAGTTATTTCTTAGTATGGCTGGTGTACAGTGCTAAATCCGATTGACTGTACACTTTCATGTATGCGCTACTTGGCGTAGCAACTCAGGCGGCATATTGTTGGAGAAAAACGTTATGATAATTAAGTTATTCTTCAGTATTGCTTGTGTACAATGTTAAATCCAATTGACTGTACTTTCGTGTATGCGCTAATTGGCGTAATAACTCAGGCGGAGTAGTGTTGGGAAAAAAAAAGTTATCATGATTAAGTTATTTCTTAGTATGGCCGGTGTACAGTGCTAAATCCGATTGACTGTACACTTTCATGTATGCGCTACTTGGCGTAGCAACTCAGGCGGCAAATTGTTGGAAAAAAAACGTTATGATAATTAAGTTATTCTTCAGTATCGCTGGTGTACAATGTTAAATCCGATTGACTGTACTTTCGTGTATGCGCTAATTGGCGTAACAACTCAGGCGGCGTAGTATTGGGAGAAGAAGAGTATTCTCAAGCGTTCTCCAAACCTACCATGCGGGCTGTTTGGCCTGTGAAAGCATGCAAAGTGCGATATATTTCTTAGAATAACCTTAGTTCTAGCTGTAAAACAAACAATTTGTCTTTGGACGAATTAAAGTGCGCTTAGTCACGGGGTATCACAATTATTTCATAAAAAATTTTGACGAGTTTATTATATTCAAGTCCATTTTTTCTCTACATTGTTGTCATCGACAGAATAAATCTAGGTCTATTATTTTATTGAGGGCTTATCTTAGGAAAGATGATCTGATTGTATTACTTACCGACAAGTGGCCTTTTACAGTACTTTCCGAAATAGTTGGAGTCGGCGGGGACGAAGCCCTTCGGACAGTTCTGAACACAAGCCATGCCGCTTTTGTTAAAGAAGACATGCAGATCACTCTTGCACTTTCGACAGCGTACGCTATCTAAGCACGAAGCACAGTTAGGCACAAACGATTGGCATTCTGAAAATGGGAAAATTGAATCAGCCTGTGTGTTAGCAGGGTTCTTGAAAAATACACTACAGTTATTCAATCTTTAGAGAGAATCATCTAATGTTCACTGACGTTTAACTTCTCTCCAGTTCCAGTAAAAAGACAAATCCATCATTAAAGGGAAAAGTATGGTCCGGAAACCTGAAAAGTATATATAAAATTATAACTCTTGACTCTGATCATGTTTCCTTCTGGTTTAGCTATAGCCGCAGTTGCTGTTGATGAACGACGTGTCGCGTTTTGTGTTTGCGATTAAGATAGAAGTTGTGTTCAAATGCCGGCGTCCACAGTTCATTACCTTGGAAATTATGATAAAATTTTTCGAGCCTAATGGTCTCTATTTAGAATATCAAAACGTTAAGGAGGTAAGCAGTAATTTTTTTAAACACTTTAAATGGCAGAGATAAAAATTGTGTGGTTTCTGATGAATACCGATCTCCCTTATGAAAAGCATCATGTAACGGCTAGCCCGCCATGTTCTCCCTTCCCCATCTTCTGAGTTTTCTTCTTCTTCGTTTTCTTCACTTTATATTGACAATTCGCAAATCAAAAAATCGAGAGCTAAACAACTCAGAGTTGTCAAAAAAAAAAAACAACATAACTTTGTCCGAGGATTTTTGGGCATAACTTGTGCAACTCTGCAATGCTAAACACCCCAAGGATCCTCCACCTAACTATAACTAACTATTAACTTTATCATTCTTACTTGACTGCGAATCTTTGCAAATCATCTTCCCATCAGTGTTCACGTTAGGGGTGAAACCATTTGGACACTTTTTTACGCATTTCACGTTTCCCATAACCCTTTTTTGTAGTGAATAGTATCCCTGACTGCAGTTCGCGCAGCTAACTGGGTTGTGAGATTGACAGTCTTCACAGTGTCGTGCAGAACAACCTTAAATAACAGAACAATGACTTTTCAAGGAAATGAAGGGCTTTGGTTATCATTACTTTTAACTGAAGGGTGACCACCTTTAAGGCTAAATACATTGCCTTTAAACTGGGGGTTTGGGGAAAATGTCTTTTATAATTTAAACGTTGCTGCCAGTCTTGCAGTGACCTACAGACGTGAAATCAACTTCTCCTTCACCTGCATGGATTCCGTGACTATTTTATCTGGTATATTTCACCAAACATTAATAAAGTCATAATTTGACAGCCATCTATGTTCTCTGTTTCAGCACAGGAACTGAAACACGATCACTGTGACCTGTACAGCAAGAAAACAGACACAGTGAGGATTTATCTTCTCTTGATGGAGATGCACCATCATTTCTCTGCCCAAGTACCAACAGATAGCTATAAACCACCATGCATATCTGACTTGTCCAAATGTCCAAGAATTTGTCTTAGGTTCAAGAAAGGATCTTGGAATGCAACTGATTCAACTTACCAAATTGTGTTCTAATACATATCTTGGGATATTCCCTTGTAGATGTGAGATTGTACCCTGGAGGACAGGAGCGACTGCACCTAATGATCTTCTTTTTGTTCCTTTCGTACTCCACAGGGGTGAAAACTGGTCTGCATTTCTTGCAAATAAGTCCATCGTTACACTGTTCACATCCAGGAATGAAACCACACCCTAATTAGAGACAAGGAAAGTGAAATAGACAAAGATCCATAGTTACACACGTTTGAAAGAGGTTCTCTTTAAGCCTTTAGGGTTCGCCCTGCTGTTCAAAACGATCGCCGGTCTTGTTTACGAGAGTGTCATCTAGGTATTATATTGTAAGCACGCGCTCAGTAATGTACACGCAGGAGTCAAATCATGGCGGCCGTGTGTATTCGTAGTATGAATTCCACGAAAGAGTTCAAAACACTTGGTCGTGTTATTCTGATAGGCCCTGTTGTGCACAAATGAAATGTGTCCGGTATAATTGAGCACTGTTTAGCAGACCCTCTTCTCAGTTCATTTCCGGAAATAAGCTTTAATCGATTATCTATCTCATGATATAGATCAACATCAACAAAACTTTTAACTTGCATTTAAAACAAACTGTTATCGTTAAGAATGGCAATTAATCTTTTGTTTTGAACTTGTCTCCGTGAGTGCAAATGACATTCCTGCACTATCTAAAAAGCAATGAAAATATTATTTCTTGGGTCTGTTTTCCATGCCTAAAATTCCAATGATAAGACCTGTTTACAAATTTTTGGCGAATTTTGCACGTCGTTTGAAAACTATTCAAGAACAGCCAAAGGATTTAGAAACCTTTGATTAAAAACGCATGCAAAAACACCTCTGTTTAGCACAAATCCGCCCTTTGGAAAAGATTTATTGTTTAGGAAATAGTACTGATCGAATTCTGACTGCAAAGTTCAGTATGACAAGACCCCAATCTGTTCATACTCTGCATTGCAAAAAAACAAAACAAAACAAAACAAAAAAACATGACTTCTTTGAATAGTAGTGCAACGAATAACAAAAAGGTGCATTTGCTGCCAAAAACGAACAAGCCTGCCTAGACTGTGCGCCTTTTGATTAAGAGGGATTAGAGGCAATGCACTTGTGTTGAAATCTATTAGCTTTTCAATGCCCCTTTACACGAATATTCTCGCGGCTTTAGTACATGGCCCTCACTTGACTCATATATACTCTTTATCGGCTTCTTGAGCACACACACGATACTTGTTGAGAAGGACAGTTTGCATGCATACTTTAACTTTACAAACAAATTGCAGGATTTGGCAAAACTCAATGAGGTAAGAGTAATTATTGCAAATTAAAAGGTCTTTCGCCGAACGGTTCAGTCTTAAGCTATCGAATATCAAGAGGCACCGCCTAAATGTGATTTCTCAGAGGTTCAACTTTGAACGGTTCCAAAGGACTGTCTAAGTGAGAGTGATCTAGGCACGCTACACTAATCTTAAAAACGCCACATTTATTTCATGTAAATAGAACGGAAATCTGATTAAATTAATCGAGATGTGTCACGATCTATTTTAGAAACTGACGGACATGTTTTATTTTCGAAAATTCTTTGAGGAAAAACCAAGACATATCGGCATCTAAAGAGCATTAAATTTCAAGATTCCTTTGGAATGGCAAAATATAGAACTGTGAAGAAATTACCAAAGAAAAAGGGGTTAATTTGCTAGGTCAATTGAGAAAAGTTATGGAAGTAGTGTCAAGTAAAATGTTCGTACCAAAGATCTCGTGACTTGCTATAACCGCGATAAAAATCGAAATATTGAGATGCCTCCAAACATCATATAGGGTGGAGCTTGGTGAAAAAGCAGAAAACCTTTGACAAATATTTTTTGTTTTCTAGCAAACGTCTCTAATCTTTGTCCTGAGATAGATGATCAGTTGGTGAAGAATGGTACGTGAAAGCAATTTTATCTAATTTAGGCGAAGAAGTAGTGGTAAAGTAAAGTCCATATTTGTGGTTGACTACGGAGCCCCAGAAAGGTTTACATAACTAAGCCCGGATCAAAAAATGAAGTGGTCAAGATTCTTGCAAATATTCTGGTTCAACAAAGTTAAAAGTATGCTGGTTTTTTTTTCAGAAAACTTTCTCAACGGAAGCATGATTCTTAAACTAACATCAAGAAGATGGCGCTCGTGAGTCAGTGAAGTTCTCAAGTGCAACATATTTTGGCTTTATTCCATACCGATAAAGTATAACCTCAGTTTACACTCCGGAACAGCGCTTATGTAAATTAATTTTCGAGTTGAGCAAATCAGTTGTGAAAATGACATAGATTTTCAAGGAATGAAGGTAAGAAACACACAAGACCCAGTCTTACCGCCCCATAGCCATCGTTTCTCTCTGTGCTTTGGCGGGTCAGCTTTTTCCAACGAAGTCTTCAAATTCTCCTTTCCATAAACGATGGGATGGCGGAGACAGCTCAATTCAGCGATAAAAAATGAAACGGTGATTTGGAATAGTAGCATGGCTCAAAGTAACTCTCCTGTGCACTATAACGACCTCAGCACCTTTGCTCTTCGCAATCACTCAGAACGTATAGACTTTCCTCTCCCAGCTGGTCGCTCGGCTTTATTCCAAGTGAAGAGTATCCTTCGCACTGAAGGCACTTATTGACACAAATTCTAGATAAGCTTTCAAGAGCTCGAATGACTGACAAATTGAATTAGGAAAAACACAAAGAAGAAAAAAAAAGGTCTATCGCCAGGAGAGAGAAATTAACGGAAGAAAAGCAGCCCAGAATAGATAAGGTTTGATGTTGAAGATGAAGACTTCAAGATCATCGAGTGATTTTTCTTCCTTTCGTTAGCGCAGCGATGCTTTCCTGCAACGCAGCAATGGTCACCTCGTGTGCAAACGCGTAACTATCGTAATCTAGTTTAAACACAGAAAATGGATAAGCAAGACAGAAACGCTGATCGAAAACCACTCAAAGAAAAAAAGTCGGAACGTTTAATGTCTGTAAGGGCAAAAAGGATTTCAATTAAAAAGTGTTTGTTTTTAAGTACTGCATAGAACACAAGAAAACAATCTCAAGTAGTGTGCTAAGTAAAGAGTATGATACGATCTGATTCCGTCAATAAAAATGCAAAAAAATTACCTGAATTTGTTAGTGATTGACGAAGCGCGAAAACTTTTAGTGAGGTAGTAAACAACTCCGCACGCGCTGAAGTTCAACAAAGGAACTCGCTAAGAGAACTGCGATTAAAACGCAATTAATCATATCTAGCAGAAATGTTATGTGATTAGGGCAATGTCATCCTGGAGTTAAATGGGCGTTTGGCGCGCATTCCATCTCGCTTCAAATAGACTTGAGACTAAAGACCGTGAATTTATGTCAAGCAACAGTTATTAAGCCAATTAAAACAAAATACAGCAAAGCAGATGCGTTAAGTTCCAAAATATACGATCAGTGAAATCTTGTCTGACTGGGGTATTAATACAAATGACTGTAAACTCGAAAGAGCCAGAAGTTTAACGTTTACTCTGCACCCAGAAGAAAATGTAAATTCTGGAGACTCATTATATTATCTAGGAGAGAGGGGAATCATGAAAATATGACTCTGATTTACTCTCAATTCTCCAAGAAAAGGGGGAGACTGAGGGCTAAATTTGGCATAATCTGGAATATTTAAAAGCCATTCATAAAATGGTTTAGGAGAGAATGCTGCATGACTTACAAACAAGTTGAACGGGCCGCTAAAATCAAATTATGATCGATTCGTGACTAAAAGTTGTTACATCACATTCGCCCTAGGCTGAGAACCAGCTTAGGATCAGTTAAATAGGATTTTAAGCCAATTTTTTTTTTAATTCAGCCTTTCTTTGCGTAGGATACTCAGTGAAGGTCTATTTAAAGAAAGTAATACTTTCCCCTAATTCTTCAAATAATTGCATGAGATTTTCTTTATCCGAAACAAAACATCCGGGCATCAAACCGCACGTTTCCGAGTTTATAAGTTGTCTTTATTGCATGCCCGCGTGGTTTAATAAGACGTCACTTAATGTCCTCTTGGTCGTCACTTATCAATGTGTTAATCATATCGACAGACATGACAAATTCACGACTGAGCTACGACCCAGAGCAAGACATAAGCTACACTGTCCTTTCTCAGAGGAAGTTCCTCCCCTGTCTGTTGAGATAATCTTACGTCGCAAAAGATGTAAATAAAGAAACTTAGAATAATTTTAAACTCTGATAAACCATCTGTTTTCCCATCCGAAGGAACAGACAAACAAACAATAAGGAAAAAACAAAAAGGACTGTTAGCCCGTAGGATTTGACATCTACTGTTGATTCCACCCATTATCAAGATTGGACAAAAGTTGCTCCATTTCCGAGATTCGAAAGGCGGGTATGTCTTCCTGCCCAACAGGCAGGATGTTTCATTTAAGTCATCTATGGATTTAGGAGAGCCTCCAAATAACAAGAACAGATGAACTACACAAGATTCGCGGGAACTTGATGTGGCGGTTTCTTTGAGAATTCAACTGATGATTTTATTAACTTCAGATGATCTCTATAAACATTGGCAAGAGCAAAGGTGAACGTTTTAAAAATAGCAAAGTTTATATAAAAAGCAAAGTTTTTAACTAACAGATGCGTCCTTGAAATCACGTTTTCCTGTACCTAATGGATACACTTAAGATAGCTACGTTGATAATCATGACTGCCCAGTTTGCCTAACGTCGCTTTGTACGTTTGGTCTCCTTGGAGGATTAAATTTCTAGATCTACGCTGGAGATTAATGAAAAAATTGGATATGGTTATCTTTCAAAAGCAACGTTGTTTCGCACATAGTTAATTTCATTATAGAAAAATCATTGACGGATGATGCGATGAAAAGCTTTTCAGATATTTCTCAAGTTCTGTTGAACGACATTATCACACACGTGGCAAAACTGTGGTGTCGTCTCAAAATCGGCCTCTGCAACAAACCACGGTGATTTCGTCAGTGTTGCATATAAAGTGGAGACGATTCCGTGAGTTTTCTTACCGTCTACTGAAGAAATACTAAATGTCCCACGAAACAGGAAAAGGAACTATACGATTAACCAAAACCAAATAAAATACTCAGAGATCAAACAAGAACTCGGACGAAAAATGGTGAGCTCACTGTGGAAATATAAGACATCCGGCTAATGTCGAGAATTAATCATGACGGCGTATAGTCCGGATGTCTCAGTACCCCTGAGATGAAGAAGTGTTGATCTTGCTCTCATTAGATTTCCACTTTAAATTTTTAGTGCAAATTCATCACGCCACACAATGCACGTCAATTAAAAATAATAAATCACATGGAAATATTGTGTCTTGGATTTCTCTGCGCTCAGACTCTTTTTTTTTTTTCCTCAAAGTATTATACAAAATTCTCCAATTCAAACTTTCCGTGAGATTTAATTATAAGCAAACTCTATGCTCACAATGCGCGAGGATGCAAGGCATGTTAATTAGTAAATAAACCCCTTCGGGCGCCTGGTATGTCGGCTGATAATGTCCGCGGCTGAGAGATTGTCCGAAAAATGAATATTTGGCTGAGAAGCGAAGCTTCGAGGAAAAATATGAAATTTTGAGGACAATCTCTTAGCCAAGGACATTATCAGCCGACATACCAGCAAGCCAGAACGGGGTTTATTTATTTTATAACCTTCCCATTAATTTTCACATCGCAATTAAACTGCGCGTAAATACAGTAAAAAAGCCAGCGGTGATCTGATGGCGAATGCGCGTGATTGACGCAAGCAAACAAGCAAACAAAAAAATCGAGTTTGGTTTCCTTCCATGTAAATAGGAGAACGGAAAAGTTGAAACTCTTGTGCTATGTTTCTTTTTCACGGAAAAAAATCGGAGGACAAATATCGACGCGGACGGGGTTATTGCGTGATAACTGTCCTGTGATTTTGCACCACGTGACGTAAAGTAAGCAATAAAATCGCGCCAAAATTAATGGATGGATCATAACTGAGGATAGTTCGTACAGGATATTGCGCGAGCAGTTCCCTAGCAAGTAGTCTGAGTGTATGAATTAAAACCGAGGCTCGAAGGAGACACCCGGTGGTAGAGTAACACCACAGCAATGAAAAATTCATCAAATCAATACATCAACCGAGATAAAATGCTGAACGAAACTTAGAGTAAACTTAATTTAGCCAAGAATAAGACATGTTAGCTTTAATATTCTTCGTCTTCAACAGCTTCCCCTTCTTCCTGAAGAGAATCCACTCCCACTTCTTCGTAATCCTTTTCCAAGGCAGCGAGATCTTCGCGAGCCTCCGAGAATTCTCCCTCCTCCATGCCTTCACCCACATACCAATGGACAAACGCACGCTTCGCGTACATCAGGTCAAACTTATGATCCAATCGAGCCCAGGCCTCTGCAATGGCTGTCGTGTTGCTCAACATGCAAACGGCACGTTGTACCTTAGCTAGATCACCGCCTGGAACGACCGTGGGAGGCTGGTAATTGATTCCAACCTGGAGGAAACCACAATGAAAATAAGGAATTACGAAAAATGTTCTCTTCCCGGGAAAAGCAAGAACGGTGATTTAAAGGGTGAAGATCTAGTGCAATCCGAATTAATAAAAAAATAGAGAATAAGACAAAAAATTAGACGAGCAAATATGTGAATAAACATAATTCAATTCTTCGACGAACTTCTCTTGACGTATGTTTCCTGACTTGTGTTGTCTCTACACACGTATAGTGACTGCGACGATGTTTCTAAATTTCATTTCCTCTTGTGTCCTTAGAATGGGACAACCTTCCCTTATTACTCGATCTTCATTACCTTAAATCCAGTTGGGCACCAATCGACAAACTGTATGGTCCTCTTTGTCTTAATAGTAGCTATAGAGGTATTCACATCCTTTGGTACCACATCTCCACGGAACAGCAGGCAACATGCCATGTATTTCCCATGACGTGGATCGCATTTGACCATCTGATTGGCTGGTTCAAAACAAGCGTTCGTAATCTCGGCTACATTCAGCTGTTCGTGATAGGCTTTCTCAGCTGATATAACTGGCGCGTATGTGGCAAGAGGAAAATGGATGCGAGGGTATGGCACCAAGTTGGTCTATTAAGTGTGAAATGCGTAAAGTTTTACACGACGATCGATGATAAAATTAAAGAACTACGAATTCTCGATAGTAAGTGGGAGTTGCACATTGAGGTTTTGGACAGGCATGTAAACTTAAGGACATATAGTATAAACTTTATCCTTATTTCGGTGCGCACGAACAAGCCTAAACCGTGCAAGTTCGCTTTTAGATTCCCCACACAGCAGGACTCTTCACGAAGCTGACTCTAACGATATGCAGGACACGCACCAGAAATGCCAAGGCGCTCGATAAAAAGGAAAAAGGTTGGAATCCTCGTCTGTTACAAAGAACTTGAAACCGCAGTGAGATCATAAATGAATAATCATACAGTTTCAAGAAACTATTATAGATTGTAATAGTCAGTGGTAAAGGTTAATTCCCTAAAGCAATCAGCATAAGTCTTTGGACGCCTGAATGTTCCCCTGTCTGTTTGAAGCGATATGCACCTTTCCCTCCCCACCGCCNATTTATTATCCAACACGCCAAATTGTTATTTCAGTGCGGGCGGATCGCGGAAATTTCTGGAGTATAAATATCGCGTGATATTTGTACTCGTCTCGCGCGTTATTTGTACTCTACGAAGCACAGTTGGATAATAATGCGTTTTCTTCCTCGGCTTGAGTCCAACATTGTTTTGGGGGAAAGGGAATGCTTCGAAGTCAAATGTGAACCTCCAAAATCAGACGACTTCGTCTGATGTTTCGTTTTGCTTATTAGTCTGACCGTCACATTGTCCATCAACTCACCTGAAATTCCGTCAAATCCACATTCAGCGCTCCGTCAAATCTCAGAGAAGCCGTAATTGAGGACACAATTTGACCAATCAGTCGGTTGAGATTGGTATAGGTGGGTCTCTCTATATCCAAATTGCGACGACAGATGTCATAAATGGCCTCGTTGTCGACCATGAAGGCACAATCAGAATGCTCCAGGGTGGTATGAGTCGTAAGAATCGAGTTGTACGGCTCCACTACTGCAGTGGCTATCAGGGGGGAGGGGTAAATAGAAAATTCTAATTTAGACTTCTTGCCATAGTCAACCGATAGACGCTCCATGAGAAGAGATGTAAACCCAGAGCCGGTTCCGCCGCCAAAAGAGTGGAAAATGAGAAATCCCTGAAGACCGGTACATTGGTCTGCCTATGGAATGTAATATGAAAATAGAAATAAAAAACTAGATAAGTAACATTTTGCAGTGGCATGTCCACCCACACGCTCTTTATCCCCTGATTCCTCGTCGAAAAGGAACCTTATAAGTTGGTTTCCTTGTGAAGGAAATACAACAGGAAAAACCACGAAATGTCTTCAGAATCAAAAAAAGAACAACAAGCTCTGGCAACATGTGATACCTGATGTGGGATCTAACTCAAGTTGGGCCAGAGCAGTAGGTAGCAAATGGTTTCAATTTGGCGCCAGCTCTGGTTCTACAATGGCAAATGAGCCACGACTTGTGCGAAATTGAAAGCTAACATATCGCAATGTTTTTTAAGCATATTTCTATAGACTTTACTGCAAAAACGCTTCTTTGAACTTCTTGGCCTTGCCTCTCATTAGCCTTTTACATTTTGTTTTTGTTTTCCCGGTTTGTCACAAGTTTCAGTTTACCCCTTCACACCGGTGTCAATATTTCTTTTGTCTTCTACGTCTTTTCTTACGAAAAAGATGATGGTCAAATGGTATTGCTTTTATTGCCTCAGTAACGTAATTGTTTAAAAAACGAAGTAAGAAGACAATTTGAAGAAGTATTAAAAGTGTCAGAAGCGTTTTGATTCCTGGAGCCACAAGTTGAAAACATACCAGTTTTCTGATTCTGTCGAGAACAAGATCGATGTGTTCTTTTCCAACAGTGTAGTGCCCACGAGCATAGTTATTAGCGGCGTCCTCTTTGCCGCTTATCAGCTGTTCGGGATGAAATAAGTTGCGGTATGAACCAGTACGGACCTCATCTGGGAAGAGGAAAAACAATAAGCAATCGAAGACAACACAAGAAAAAGCGTCTATCCATTTAAACCTGAATACCGTGAGAAGTCGATGAAAAAACCAATGGCCCAGGAATTAGCAAAATGCATTATTACTGACTGGGACTATGCTGGGACTTTTATACTTGGGATCCTCAATATACTTTTTAAACTGGGTATTCCTTAAGAATAAGCAACCATCGGGAAACTAAGAATAGAGTAGAATAGAATGCAGTAAACGTTTATTAAAAATACCTTAATAGCAGCTGGAAGCTGAATTGCAAAGGTGCATCGGCAAGTAAGTTGACAAGTGGAGACGAGGCCCTTCGTCAAGTATCAAAGCCCTCTAATTATTCCAGATTAAAACTAGGTCTCTCTTTCATACCTCTGCGCTGATTTGCGCGATTTGCATAATTATAATACCTGTCCTAGTTTTCACAAATTCGTTGCATCGAGAAAGGTAAACACCACTCTGGGTTAACGAAAACACTAATTAAAATCGAGGAAACTGCCTGAACTGCGTGAAAACGAGAGTGACATGACAAATCACTACTTGGTCTGGTTTTGAATCTGATTGGTTTGAAAAGTAGTGCCAGTTTCGTAGAACAATCTATTTTCGGCTGAGTGTCGAAAGTAATCTTGGACTGCTTTCGTTTTACTTAACTTTTCTCCCTGATTGTTCCAGAAAACTCGCACTGTCCTCTCAAACTATCAGATGCAAAACTAAAAACAATCGCAAATTGTCATTCGCGTTTTTCCGCGCTTGAAGTAGTTTTCTTGTCTTCATCGGCAAATGATAATGTAAGTATCTGTTGTGATTGGTTGTGGAATTACTATGGTGTTGGTTTTTCGAAACCGAATTGTAAACTGCTTTAAATTGAAAAACGCATCTGAAGAACATTGTTTACGACAAACTCGAAAATTCAACTGTTTCCATAATGATCAATGAGCCATTGCTGTTAAATGACGCCTTCGAAACCCTCTTATTATGCCATAAATTTAACGAATGTGGTGTTTTTCAAAAACGATGAATAACTCACTAAGTGAAACAAATGGACAAGTTTGCGTTAAAATTGTTAATTAATCGTTAGAAAACGTTACAGCAAGAAGGTTCTAACTGAATTAAATAGACCCTTCCACGGTTTTATCGGCCATATTGGTTGGGGGTCAAACAAAACCTCGTTGCGTAGCAACGAGCCATAGAATCTCTTATGATAAGAAGGCGCGCATCGCTACCCTCGTTTCAATTTTCGCTTTGTTCAGGAACAAAAATTAATATTCATCGCTGAAAAAGGGAAGACATCAATAAAGGCGATTGACTTTTTCTCCTCTCGGCGAAAAACCTTTTCTTCTCTGCGTTTTATGGGAGACACATTGAGATCGTTTTTCTTTGGACGTGACCTCGCGGCCGACATAATGCCAGAAGGTCAGAGTAAAGCTTTTCCGAATGACTTTTTGTATTTAAGTAACTTAATTGTGCAGAGGAAATGTTGAAATAAATGTGTTTACGTGCTCTTTAAACTTTTTCGTCCAGACAGGCTAACATACTCTTGAAAAACCAATAACTCGGCAAAGAGAAACCCTTGGTTTAATGGGTTTTGGAGATGGGTGTTCTGTCGGCGGCTGTAACAACAATAGAGGAGATCCGAAAAAATGGGTCATCCACTCACATGTACAGAAGTTATCGTTCCACAAGCCCAAGCAATCATTAATTGAAGCATGGTCTCGACAGGTTCAGAAGGGAAGAAAATATTTCTCAATAGGAAAGTCAAGGGAGAGTGTTGTTGTCTGCTCCAATCATTTTCGAGAAGGGAAGCCTTCAGTAAGCAATCCAATACCTACTCTTTTTTGACTCCTTTTGAGCATTCAAATACAAGTCACCCAAAAGGCGGCGATTATCAACATCGGTTGATAATAGTGATATCATCACTGCAAGTGACGAATTGATGAAAAGTGGAGACGATTCCCCAGGGTTAAAACTGTGTACAGTCTGCACAAATAACCAGAGATGCTGATGTTCGACTCTATACTGGCATGCAAAATACAGATGCTTTCAGAACCTTATTTGAGTACTTACTCCCACCATAAATCCTAAAATTTAAAACTACACAATATCGATGGCTAAAAAACATATTTTAATTTCTCAACCGAAAGAAGTGCTTTTTAAAATGCCATTCTCGCACCATGGCGGCCACGAGGTCACCTTCAAACAACATATCAATCGGCCCATAAAACGCAGTGATAAAAAGGTACTTCGCCAAAAATTCGGCACTTACTTTTAGTAACGCCTTATCTATGTTCCCACTAGATTTGGAGACGAAAATAAGCGATTTTCCATTTATAAAGTTACGATATTGAGCGAAGGTACCGACGCGCGTGGAATAATTACAAAAGAATATATTGCTTGTTGTTACGCAACGAGGTTTTGTTTGACCCCCAAACAATATGGCCGTAAAAACCGTGGAAGGGTCTATTGTGAAGTAAGAAAATAAAACATGAAAAGAGGCGAGCTACCTATTTTAATTAAACTCCGGAGGTTAAAAATCTCTAAGAAAACAAACGATGCTTTACAATCCAATATCCTGAGAAAATCCAAACATTGTTGATGGCACCTGCTGTACGCAAATAATCATTTACAAAAGCTCTCATTTCTTAAGTCTATCATAATTTTTCAACACGAATTCAAACCCGCATAATCTATTCTTGGCACGATCAGGCTTTTCTGAAACATCTTGATGACGATCATAAGCAATTCGTTGTTGATGTTTTTTTAGTCGGGCTTTCGGTATGAAATGGCCCACTTATGATACAGCATCGATGAGTAATTGGTGTAGAATTAAGGAACTCAGTATACTTGGTTCAAGTTCTATCTTTGTGGCCAATCTCCAAACGTTAGAATCGAAAAGGAAGAGATTTTTGCCAGAAAAAGATTCGACGCGAGAAAATATTCGTAAAATTGTGATTCAGAAGCAAATGAATTGCTATAAAACAAAACAAAAACATTTTTCAGAAGCATTATAATACAAGTTGAGATGCAATCAGCTTTTTGAGGAAATCAATCATGATAAATTGCAAACAATATTTCTTTACAATATCCCCCGTCTTATCCCCTATCTTTCCTCTCTTCAACCTCCCATGTTCACCAAAAAAATCACCTCCAAAATCTCCTTTAGTTTCCAGATTAGCGTTGTTAGATTTCTTTCAAAATGAACCTCGGCGCGTTTTACAAAAGAAATCATATCACGGAAATGATGCAAAACTAACTCGCGCGTGAAATCGATTGTGTGACTGAAATGCTTAAGTAAACTAACAAACAATAAAACGTACAGGTATATTTTCAATATTAATCGACTTAAAAAAGAACAATTCATTTCGTTTGAAACATACCAACAACCGCAGGTTCAAGATCTACCATGACAGCTCGGGGAACGTGTTTTCCTGCACCAGTCTCACTGAAGAAAGTGTTAAAGGAATCGTCTCCGCCACCAATGGTCTGATCACTAGGCATGTGGCCATCAGGCTGGATTCCATGCTCCAAGCAGTACAGTTCCCAACACGCATTACCAATCTGAACTCCGGCTTGTCCGATGTGAACTGAAATACACTCTCGCTGTCGAAAGAAAGCCGCGATATCTTTTTAACCGAATTGTGTACATTGCACTAAGTGGCGACTTACATACTGTAACTTTGAGAAATTCAATGAAATCATTAGGAAATCGTCTTCGCTTTACTCCCGGGTATCACGCCACCTTATATTACCTTGGAATTGTTTTAAAACGCCAATTACAAATAAGGCGTAGATTTAACTGTACCATAAGACCGAGGGAAATTATTATGAATGAGCATTAGTTACGATTTCAGTAAGTTGTAGATATCTACAAGAACATTTTGTTTCCAAGAGGACATTCTACAATAAAAAGATTCTTTTAAAGGCGATGGCGTCAACAAGTCTTTCACGGAGCTTCCTGTGGCATCTATCTTATATCTTGTATCGAAGGCCTCCCTCAATGACACACTACATAGCTTGGAAGACAATTTGCCAAAAAATAATATATTCTCCGGACTTGGCCCCAAGCGCTTGCATCTATAGCATTTAGTCACCGTCAAATAGTCAGGAGAGAAATGAATTTAACACAGAAATGAAAGTGACAGTTTTAGCCTCACTTGGACTGGCATCAATTGAAAATAAAAAGAACGAGCACAATTCAAAAGAAGGTGAAAAATGAGGCCAAATATTGTGGATCTACTTACCATGTTCTGACAGGTGAACTCTTCCCTAAAGATGAAAACCAAGGCAACCTTGTAATTGAACCGCAAACTAAGCAACGCTCTCTCCGCGATCAAGCGATTATCTGCAAGATTTTCCACTTCAGTCGCATAGTAAGGCACCCGTGAACTTGTCAAGGCGCTCAACAATAAAGTTACGTGTTCACAGGATCGCGAATTTGATTTGGCTACAAGTGCTTAATTATTCATCAGAGGAAATCGCCCCGCTAAGTTATTTTGACTATCTCGACTCATCTCATACCAATTTCTTGGAGCTCCTTATTTTTTGTTCGAATGGTCATTTTTTCCGAATAGTAAAAGGGAGAAGGTTAGGATGTACTTTGCAGAGGCAATTTTTAATTTATTATAGTTACTGCGGTCAACTCGTGAAAATAAGAGTTCTCGATTTCTTAGTCCTCTCAAAGATGGAAACATCGTCCAGTCGAAGGTCCAGTTCCACTAGTTATAAATAATACATGTGTTATGCCGCAAAATGTATTACTAACGTAAAATGTAATAACATCGACGCAAAATGTAATAACTTTTCTGACGCCCATAATGTTCGCTTAATAAAAGATATTATATATACAAGGCTAAAAGATTAAGAAAAAATTATTAAAATTTTTAAACGAGACGTTTTCGGCTGTTTGCCATCATCAGGGTGATGTTTGCCATCACCCTGATGATGGCAAACAGCCGAAAACGTTTGGTTTAAACATTTTAATAATTTTTTCAGTCTTAATCTTTTAGCTTTGTATATATATCTTTTCTGACGCGTTATTGAAAAACGCAAAATGTAATAGCTCTTGAATGACTTCTATGCTCTTAAGCGTAAGTTTTTGATCGAATAACCGTGAAATATGTGATAAAATGTACCGATAAAGTTCACTCCTTGCGTAAAGTTTATTGTCTCGAAATATTCCAGAGTTAGGTATAAATCACTGGAAATTACCCTATAAAGTAATTTCAGTTGTAAATATGTGTTTACAGTCTACTTTCGCTTTATTTCTACGCTTGTAAACGCAAATATTATTGGAAATTGGCCTCGTGGTGATCATTGTGCTGTGTGGGAGTTGTGACAACGATCGAAGGTACCCAGAAAGGCAAAAGATTCTTCCTTACGTTGGGATATTAGGATTCTACTCGAATAAGAAAGATGTTTTGTCGTGGGCCAGAGCTATTAATCGTGATCAATTCAAGGTTACCACGAGTACGAAGGTCTGTTCAAATTATTTTGCACAAGGTTATAGAACGACCGAATGTCCTACACCAACGTTGTACATGAAAGGGTACGATTGTGAAAGTAAATCTAAAAGACCTCCCTCAAAGATCAGATGTACAGAGATCAAGGAGAGACAATAAAGGAAGACAAAGCGAAATGGTGACGAAAATGAAGTTACAGTTGAGAATTAGCCCCTTCTGGAGAACGAGTCTACATAACAAGAGAGCACTCAGCATCGCCTGCTCATACGGACGCTTGTTTTCTTGTTGACACAGCTATAAAGACTGAAAATACAAGTCAAGTGAAAGAGAAGAGAAATTTTTCACTGAACAGGCAACTTGTCTTAAAACTTTTATTGTTATGCAGGTGTAACTAGGCCTAAGCTTGATTTGGTTTTTGAATTTTTAGAACCAAAGGCCACTATAATACCTCTCTGGAGGGGTGGTAAGAGTACCAAAAAGTCATTAAGAAAAAAAAAGTGTAACTGAGACACCTAAAAAGACTGAAAACGATGGAGTCTTGATAACATTAGTGAGAACAAGAAAAGGTTTCGATGTCAAATTCCTAGCTGACACTTTTGGCATTAACTCATCTCAAGTGCTCAGAATTTACAATACAAGGATAACACTTCTTTCTCAAAAGCTGTCCTTTCTAGTTCCATGGCCTTCAAGATCAGAATTACAAATTAAAATGTCTTCCAAAAAGATTAAAACAATTTAAGAATGTAAGAGTAAATATTGAGTGTCTTGAACTCTTTCTATAAAGACTCCACTCCCGACAACCGCATCGTAAAGTACGTTCTGCTCACGAAATCTTTGATTCGTGGTATCACTTTTTTTTAAGTTTTTCAAGTTCATTAATTTTATTATAGACTGTCAAGTCTGGAAGTAGATATTTTGCAAAGGGTTGTTAGATAATCCGAATTCTTGTCTAGGAAACTTAATACAATTTTCGAGCTTCTGTGAGCAAGACACTTTTATGTGAATTTAACATGCCCAAACATTCACGTGTTTTGACACAATGTCATATTTTAACGTGTAACCAATTTACGTCTGGAGCATGAACATGTCAAGTTTTGACAATTTCGCCGTGTGTTTCGGCACTTCAGTAAAACACAGATTTTTAAACCCATCGACTGCTTTTCGTCTGAATTTAGAAAATTTCGGTCACCCCACTTTTTGCGTGTTTCAAGGGTAGAAACACAGAGGAGGGCTGTAAAAACTAGCTTGACGTGTTCACGTTCGAACTTTAGTTGGTTTGATTATTAAACGCAACGATTTGTCACGATATACTGGAATGTTCTTGAGATATAACAAAAAAGCATTAAAAACTTTGTATCACAGGTTGTGTTTTTCGATTATCCTTAAAAGAAGTTATTACAACTTGCGTTGTTACATAATCTGTTAGAAAAGTTATTACATTTCGCGTTGAAGAGTTATTATATTTTGTGTTAGTGTTACACTTTGTGGCGATTGTTAAGACATTTTTGCGTCACTATTAAAATTTGCGACGTAACAACCTGTAATGGGAATAATCTTCGTCCATACGAAACACGTTTTGAATTAATTAGTTCATTCTTTTATCTCATCTACTTCCCGCATTATTTTACAGTCCGATGACTAGCAGGCTTTAAAGGTCGCGCTTTACAAACACAGTAACGAAGCACGTCAAACGAAATCTCTAGCTGCACGTTAGGCAAATCTCAAAAATGTGCTGAGCAATATACTACATCCTCGAGTATACGTGAGGTTAACATTACTACTACTATTACCGATGTCACTTACACAAAGTATCCAATCACATCAAAGGAAACGAACAATTATTCCAAGTATGTTCAATCGTGGTTATCAGGCTTAATACTAAACGAGGAAAAAAATAACAGAGAATTTAGAGGAAGTCGCTGCTCATCTCTTGTAACAGGATTAGTAAGATTTCAAGTTCAAGAGTTATCCCAACAACTGCAGTCGTACTGCATACTGCAGCCATATTGCATACTTACGAACCATAATTATACAATCATCAGTCTCGCATATGCAGCTATAGATTTTTCGTCTCTTGAACAAAAATATAATGAAATTTTACGAACCACATCCCACACGTTCTTTTCCCTGAACCTCTGTGTTATTTGTAATTAAAAAAAAAACAAAACAAAACAAAACAAAGAGTAAATAAATATAACACAAGCCAAAAGAAAATTTCAACAACAAGATCAACGAGAAACACTTCTATAAAAAAATCAGCTGATCAAACAATATATAAACTATATAGCATATCAATCAAACCAGATACAGACCAAAGCATTCGCTCTGTGTTAGAAGATTGAAATACACTGGGCGTGAGAAAATGGGTGGAGAAATGATAGGACGTTGAGTTCACTTTGTCAGTAACGAATTATCATGCTCTTATGTCTGCTTAACCAAAGAGATGCTTAAGCTGGACCAAAGCAAACGATAAATTAGAATACTTCAGCTATACTATAGAACGCACACAATTTATAACAAAAATGGTTATTAATGTTATGGAAGATAAACGTTAAATGAAAGTTAAAAGGATGTTCAGAATGTCAAATCAAGAAAAAAATTGTTTTATTTGAAAGGCATAATACAACAATCTAATGAATTCTCTTTGATGATCAGAAACTCTTGAAACACTTAAAAAGGCCGAAAAACTCTACAACAATCACTTAGTTTTTGGGGATGGCCAGGACTTTTTCCCATTTTTACTGAATAACTCGAGCACCCGATACATCATACACCACTCAATAACTGCGAGTGAGGTACAAGAAGAGTTCTCCTTTTTCTCCAAATTTGAAGGGTCTTTCCCTAACTGTTTTCGGTAATCAAGTTGAGAAGTATTTTCTTGTAATTTCCACGTGTGTCGTCCTGAAAACCCAAAAAGAAATTGTGCTCAGTTTTAAAAGGTCTGTTTGGCATTTTAAGTGACACGTTTATATAGGGCAGTTGCATTAAGTCTGCTCTGGTTCAATCAATTCTCGGCGGCGTGTATGCATTTAACAGGCGACAGGTTAAAAAGTCCTTTCAACATCTCGCACTTTGTGTTTTACGAATAAAAAACACAGAGAACACTCACCGATATGAATTTGGCCAGAGATTTATGGTATAACTTAGCAAACTCGTCTTTTATGTCCAGTATATCGACTTCTGACCGTGTAACAATGATTCGAATAAGTGTGCTGTCGTCTGTTCCAAGACCCTGTTGTAATACGCCAACGATTAGAGTGCTTTTAACCACGACAAGAAAAAGAAAATATATTCTTGTTTGTGTCAGTAATATTTTAAACAAACGAAGGTCGTTTATGCCTATTGTGGCTAGATTTCCAATATGAACGATCGCTGCTATACTTCTTACAAAGCGTACCGAACTCTTGTCATTAACTGAATTCTTCCGATCAATATCATTATAATCACTGTAATCATCAGTATCATCATCATTTTAACAACTCTCATCATTTTTATTGTTCATTTATAATCTTTTTTTGTAGAAGTCCGTTGCGATAATGTTGTACCAACGTCTTAAACACAAGCATCTGATAACCTTTGCACTTGCGTGTTAACACGTCTTAAGTTTCAGAGGCGCACTTGCTTTTTCGGGAAAAATATACTTATTTCATCCAATAGCTACCAAGAAATAAATCTCTTGTTTCACTCAACAGAAAGACTAGAACTTAAACCCATAGTTTCATCCGATAACTAGGCTTTAATATTAAGTGAGTGGCCTACCTTCATGCTCTTGTACAGTTTTACAGCAAAGAATGCTGGTGCATTTTTCACAATTTGGACTGAAATAATGACAAGGAAAGCGAGAGACGTTAACAAAGCCCAACAGATAGATCGCCTTCTCACCTACACGGAAACGGACTACACGTTTAGTTGCGAAAATATTCAAAATTTTACCCAAATGATTAAGTGATAGCCCTGGAGTTTATGTCTATACTAGACATAGAGCGGAATATTTTATAATTTCTATTAGGTTCCACTATCAGTTGCTGACGTGAAATTTAAAAATTCAGCTTTCAAGGAAGGCAAAACTCACTCAAGGAATTGCGTTATCTAGAACACGCCGGCAGCAAATGTGAAATTGTGACTAACGGAACTTGCCCTCACGTTCACATATGTCACCATCTATTATGATCATATACAGCCAGGTATTACCTATTGTGGACATTCCATCTCTCAAGTCTCCCGACATCTCTCTCTTGATTGAATCTTCAAAGTCATATTTACTTATCTGAAAAGACAAGAGTTAGTGACATTAGAGAGCAGTAACTAAAAGTGATTTCCGTTCATCAGGTCTGGCCGATTTAAACTGAGAATGGATTCTGATTAAAGTATATTGCAAGCAAACGTCGATTTGTGGTGAGCGCACTGTAAGAGCCAGTGAACTGGGCTCCCTTCCTGATTTTAAACGAGACGCCTTTATTAGACACTTGGGCACCCTGCATATTTTATAACAGCTGTAGAAGTAAGCCCAATAGAGGAAAAGCTGATAGACTTGCTCAGTTTAGAGGGTAGGATGAGTTAGGCCACAAACAGATCTGCCACTTCTGAAAACGAACCTGTTCCATTTGACCCTTCAACACATATGAATGACTTGCATCCAATTTCTCGTTCAAGTATCACGGCATCAATCAAACATTAAGGTCACGAGATTCAAGAAAATGATCACCACCTGGGGAAGCTCTTCTTTGTAATAAAAATTCTAAATTTGAAGACCAAATTATCAATACTGTGGAAGATGCATGGAGAACAGTATGGACAGGGCTCGACACTAACTTTTCAACTTACTAGCAAAGTGGATAGGGACAACTTAGATGCTACAACAATTTCAGTTTGTTTATCAGCCAAACTGGCTGGTGGAAATCGAAAATCACTAGCAAAAACTGAATTTCTACTAGTCTGTGGCTAGTTGGCTACCGTTAGTGTGGAGCCCTAATGGACGATTCGGTTCATGACGATTTCGCATCATTGCAAGTTCGCGTCATTTCAAGTTCGCCTCCTTTGCACCTTTGCAAGTTCACCTGCTATTAAAAAAAGAAAAAAGTTCACCCCACCTTTATCACTTCGCCCCTAAATCTTTCAACTCGTTTCCATAACACAGAACGTATTTTTACCCTGTCGAAATCATGATATCTTAAAGACCAACAGGTAATTTTCAAAGCGAACCTGAAACCTGAATAGTGCCTAAACACGACTACGGTGACCACGCTCACCTTAGAGTACTCATCAAAAGTGGCCTTCAACTGGGAAAAACTTCTTGAGACAAGAATGGTATTAAATCTGAAAATGAAAAATCGAACGGGTAAATTCTATGAATGCATGACAGGGAAAAAGTCATATGCATGGGAGAAAACAAAATAATTCACTTCAACGAACTTACTTTGACTCATCTGTGCCCCATCTGCCTTCACCGGCTTTATACAAAACCTGTATTCAATATGTTCGTAAGGTTATTCGTACGACCGAGCATACACGATTCAGCATCTACAGCTAAAAAAGCTGAATGCAATTAATAGATAGCATAGTCCTTTTCCGTCAGCTATGATGGAAAAGTAAACTTCGGCCGTAAGGAACAACAGCTCGATTTAAAACGGTGTTTTTCTCATGGGCGCCTTTCCACCATTAATCCGGTGGCATGCTTTTTGGGTCGTTGAAAATTGTTCCCAATTGAAGGGCAACGCAAACTTATAGTTGACCACGGGAAATCAATTACTCAAAACGAGTAAAAGGGGATGGACGGTGAAAAATGGGAAAGAAGTTACACGGATTGCAAATGGTGCTGTTGAAATCAACAAGGCTGAGGTTTTAAGACAGGCAAACCGAGACATGGTCCGCTCTTTTCAAAGAGAATAAAGTTTTATAAAAATTCTGATGGGTTCGCTTCAAAGGAACCAAGTTTTACTTGCCCTTATACAGCATCCGGTGTCCGTTAACGAAAGAGCATGTTTAATACGCAAGTTAAACAGAATGAAACTTTCGACGGCCGAAATATCTGAACGGAACCAAGAACAGTGTGTAAACCAACTTCCGTAAATCTTTTACAGTTGCAAATGAAGAAAGGGGGTTAGTTTCTAAAGAAACTGTGGTGCTGCGTCGGTGGGGGTAACAAGGTAATTTTGGTTTTATCAACTGAGAAAAGTATACTTGGCCACCGTAAAGAGTTTGGAAGCTTAGTTTTCAAACTCTTTGCGGTGGTCAATTTACTATATCAACTCAATTGTAACAGTCACAGTCATGTTCCTGCACCTTTGCATGTTACCTCCCAATTACTACCTCAAACCACAGTGGAATTTAATTCAGTTATCGCAAAGAAGAAGTACAGCGGTCAAACCTGAGCGTCTGCTGCGGCTTTCGCCAAGTCAACTGTTTGGCTTTCGTCTCTGTAAGCCTAAGAAATAAACCGTGAAAAGAAAAATTAAATTCACAACCGAAAAGTCACAAGCAAAACTAACATACATTAACTTATACTCCATTGGTCAAAAGTTTATCTCATCCACACACCTGTAGCAAAGAGATGAGAAACTTCTTGAAATGGCCAGAGGTATCTCCTGCCACATCTTTCTCCAAATCTCTGCTGAACACTTCCAGAAAAAAAGGCAAACAAAATTAAGTTATTAAGCAAAGCATTGCAGGGGAGGGGGGGTGGCGGGGTGCGTAACCATTAACGTACGGGTTTAATATGATGCCAAAGTGTAAAAATCATGCTCAATTGGAATGTAAATGTGACAAACGGAGAGAATTCTTTCACTTTTTCCTTAAAAAATCTGCTCTATGTACCTCTGAGAGAATCCGTATACCGACATGTGTACCGCGGTAACTAGCGTTTGCACCCTGCTTTTGAAATTCATGTTCAACCACATCTTAACAAACTAACGAAATAAATAAAAAACGTAAACGTGCACGCTTGAACTCACACCGCTGGTAGGACTGCTTGATGGCAACGATCTCGGCGTTGGTTCTTGTACACAAAATTTCAATCAACACGCTCTCGTCCGTCCCAATACCCTAGAAAAGCGTAGCAGAAACTTGTTTCATTCAATTCATCAAAACGATCCAACATGGGAGAGTTTGCATGTCTATTTTGAGAGTTCCGAACACTGTCGGCGGTCATGCGCCGATCAGTTCGAAGCTTCAACATCGTCCAACCCACTTCCCGGCGAACCAACGGGTATTTGACTCTCGTCTGTGCCCAAGCAGTGGGGAATTTGAAACTTGCCTAGCTGAGGTGGGGAATTTGAAACTTGCCTAGCTGGGGTGGGGAATTTGAAACTTGCCTAGCTGGGGTGGGGAGTTTGAATCAGCAGTATCTCGTCTTTCCAACGGAATAAACGTGTTTTACCTTTCAAAATGGAGGGTTTTAAAGGTAAAGAGTTCACTATCGCGAGCGAATAGGTCAGGATAAAAAATGTACAAGGTCTTGGTTTTAAAGCTTGGTCAATGAGTAGAAATTCACGGTCGCTGATATTGCCTTCAAAAATAAATGACCATCAAATTCAGCTCTTGGGTAGAGCATTTGGACGCAATTTTTGCCCCAAGGGACGGGTATTTGAACAAACCAATCTTTAAAAGTTCAAATGCCCGGGGGGTTGCCCGGGGGGTTGCCCAGGGGGAATGTTAAAGCTTTGAATTGATCGACGATCAGCGTCTAATGAGTAAGCTCACAAAACACACCTTAATTGCTTTCCTCAGTGACGTTGCATCATAGTCCGCCAATGGCATCATAAGAGCAATGACTATAGTCTCAAAATTACCACCCAGCTCATACTTAAGATCCTTTAAAAGATCCTACAAACATAACGATATAAGTTGAAGAGTTATGAATATCAAGACATTCATAACGTCAAATAGACTGCCCTTCAGAACATGTAATGGAAAACTACAAATCAAAATATTTTGCTGTTGAAGACAAAAACCAAAAAGTTGAAAAATTAAGGCGAAACGAGAGGTTACGGTCAAGGATGGTAAGATCCCAAGGGACTGGAAAAGGCCACATTTATCAATATTCTCCAAACGCGAGTTTACTGTATGCTTAGAAATGATAGATTCTTAGAGAAGACATTTTACTCCTAAACGATCTTAACAATATGGCCCTTAAGACGATCGAAACTGTCGAACAAGGGAATACGGGGCCGAGAAAGACAACCATTCCATGCAGAATTCTATAAAATCAACTTTTCCGCAGTTTAAGGATATTTCTCCTTTTAGAGCCACGTACAATGATCACTCACACAGTTCCTATTTACTTCGATAGAACACTGATAACTCTTACGAAAGCTATTGTAAAAATTGTACCCTAAACCATTTAACTCCCACAAGTGATTAACATGTAGCTTCTCCCTATGACATCCATACACTATCCACCAAACAGGTAATGAGAATACTCAAACATATCAGGTATAACTTGTTATCTTGATCGAACACCAAATCCTCGCAACTAATTTACAAGGAAATAAAATTATGCATCCACTGGAAGGGAGAATCAACAACCAGATTTTGGGAATTAAAAGTTTAAAATCGATGAGTCACCAGAATGAAGAATAGTTTCACGCTACGACTTCTCTATCTCTAACCCTGAGCTTCTTATTCTTAGTTTCCTAAGAAATACTTTTTTTAAAACTCCTTAACGTCACATAAAGCAGGACTGCAGGACTTACCCTTCCATACATAGTCTTGTACTCTAATTCAATTTTCTGTCTCTGAGCGTTTGTTCTTGCACACAAAAGACCAGTGATAGCTTTAGAATCACAGCCTAAAGATAAATGAAAGAAAATTTCTTATGACTACGGGTACTTAGATACACTGTGGAAGTTACATCCACTTCAAAAGGCCATGGTAAAACACACAATTAGTTCCAAAGGTTTGAATTTTTTTTCCTTGGACAAACCCTTTATTCATTGTCTCAAACTCTACAAAAACATTCTAATAAGATGACGGAAAAGACAGAGAAAATATTACAAAAGTTTAGCACTGAAATAATAAATTAACTGTATTTCCTATGGACCAACCATAAATTTGAGTGAGCCATTCTCAAATATCTTCCACCAAACATCAGCACTTTACGCACAATTTCAGTACAACTATCGTGTGCATGTAGCATTTTCAATTCATTCCTTATTCTACGAATCCTTGAATTCAGGTCGCTGATTTTCAACTTCATACAAAAACACATGCACATGTACTGGAAGACACTTTTTATTTTTTGAAAAGGAAAATTAAAAGAACAATGAACTTTATCTACAGAGACCTCACTGCAATTCTTCTGCATGTATACTACCAATTTATGGTGCAAATCGATCTAGTAAGTAAGTGAGTAAGTAAAACCTTAATTTAGACACGATAGGTATTGAAGCTGTGCAGCTCGTGGGGTCGTGTATAAAATAAAAAGATACACAAACAATAGTCTAAAATCTAAAAGTTTTCTTTTTTTAATTATTATTATTATTTAATGGTGCCCTGTCAAAATATCCGACATAATTTGAATAATAATAGACTTTACTATTCAACTGTACTTCGCAGAGTACAAATAACGCCCAAGACGAGTACAAATATTACGCGATATTTGTATTCCAGAAATATCCGCGAAATTCGCCCGCACTGAAATAACAATTTGGAGTGTTGGATAATAAATCTCTTACTACACATTTGGTTGTGTAGTATCGCTGAGTATTTTACTCGTTATTTGTAATTTGACTCGCCCTACGGGCTCGTCAAAATACGGCACAACTCGTAAAAATACTCACCGATACTACACAACAAAACGTCTAATAAGATGGATGTCTATAGTGTTGTAAAACAATACCATTCAAAAATTCAGTCCATATTCACCTAAGCCTTTCATTGCATTCCGCAGTACTTCAGCATCTTTCTGAGCACAAAAGTTTGCATGCGGCTTGATGGAAGGTCGCCCTCTTGATTGCTGTTGAAAGATAAAAAATTTGGAAAAACAAGTTACCAAACAAAAAAAACCAAACCAAACAAACACGTATAAAAACAAAACAAAAAACAAATAGCAAATGAAAATTCCTACCCCCCCCCCACCCCATTGTTGAACGGATTGACACATTTCCACAAGATTAGCTATTTTAAGAGAAAACTCAAAAGTTCCAAGGGCAAACAAAATGTACAATGAAACCACTTTGGAGTAACAGCTTCATTCAAACAACCAAAGCCAAAACATCGAGGCAATAATTATTATCATCATTATATTATTCCTCTCCATCCAAATCAATTTCAAGGATTAATCCACACAGTACAGGATGAGCTCAATGCTATTCACAACACCTGAGGTACACAATATACATTTACATGTACCATAATGATTATTACTCCAGGAACAAAGGTGTCTTGAGATTATGATTTAAAATAAGCTTCATTGTACATAATGCTATTTAACAAAGAATTCCCTTTGCTGGACCTGCCTGCTATAGCTATTGATCACACTATGAAAAACATTTTAAGTTCTTTGCCTTAAAGCAAGTGGCTAATTTGTGCTGGTACTTTCTTCTGCTTCATCTTCTATTTCTTGTTTCCTTAGTCATACCCACAGACAAAAGATTTGTGCTTAATTCACCTCAGCCTGCATATGGTCTCGCAAAAAAAAAAAAAAAACATGACCCCCCTGCCCTAATAACTTCATTATCTTGGTTTGCATTATCTGCCACAAGCTTCCACTTGAACGGCATATAAAAACCAACCTAAGCAATGGTAGTTCCTGCATTTGTGCTCAACTTAACCTAGTAAACATACTTCAGGTTTTTTTATGCTTGATCTGGAACTCCCAGAAGAGGAGGAATGGGAAGAGGAGGAATGGGATGAGTAGGAAGATGAGTGTGAGGATGAGGAGTATGTTGTCACAGTTGATGAAACTCCTGGACCAGCTGCTGGTGGTACACTTGGCTGGGTTGGCATAGCTGGAGCTGACGGAGGAAAACTTGGGGGTGGACCCTTCACAAAAAGAAACAAACATACCAAAACAAAATGTTTAACCTTCCATCTTTTTAGAAGCAAAAAGTTTGTTGTGTACACACAATCATGTACCTCAGCAAGGGCATCTGTTGACCAGCTACATTGTAAATGTATCGGTTATCTCCATTCACCCCAATCATAATTATAATCACAAGACTGGATTTGCATGATGCACACCACTAAATGACTAACTGACTGGAGAACCAACCTGCTGAAGGTACATATTTCGCTCCGATGAAGGGCTAATGCTCGAAACGTCAGCTTTTGTAATCGTTACGGTGGCCAATTTACCATTTCAACTTTGTTGATATATCCAAATTATTTCGTTACCCCCACCGACGCAGCCCCAAACAGTTTCTTTCGAAACTATCAGCCTTTATTCATACATATTTTAAAGCCTAAGTCATAATCAAGTGTCAAACAGCTGTAGACGATTGGCTATATATGCTAATTAGGCTTGAAGCAGACAGCTACCATGGACAATTGTTCAAGTACATGCTAGACTAGCAATGATGAGTGTCCATTAGTGACTTTTGCTGTACAGCTCTCTACACTACATGTTAATGTATTGGGTTCAAACTACGGATTTTTTTTTTTATTACCAGTACTTGAATGAAGCTCTATTGTTGGCGGTTTCTAAGGACTAACAGCTTAATGACTCACTGCATCCCTAGCTAAAGCAGCTGCTTTACCAATAAGACCACCTACACAACTCAACTGAAAGTCAAACAATGGTGATACAGCAAGGTAGGTCTTACAACAGAATGGTTATTAGCATAAGAGAAGATCATATTCTGCACGATGACTAGTAACACAATCAGCTACAAAGTTAGATCAACCTCAAAGCTGGCATAAGTTGTCAAATATTCAAAGCACTGTAGTTGTAATTATTTGAACTGCTGGATAATAAAGCAATGGTTGGACATTAACAGCCAAATAATGACACCTTATTACACGACTCGGGCAGTCAGAGGGCCAATAACAGAAATCAACCAATCATTGTGCTCTATTGCCGGTCCAATATTCTCTAAGTATTGGACCGGGCACTGTCCTGAATGGTCCCGAATGATACCGCACTTGTGTCCCTTTGAACTTCAGTCGTATAATAAATCTCTTATTAACCAAGCTTGCTCGGGACCATACTGGAAGAATATCGGCCTCCGGTCTTTTTTGTACGGACCTCGCTGCACTCGGTCCGTACTGTCAAGACCTCGGGCCGATATTCTCCCAGTATGGCCCTCGCGCTTGGTTAATAAGATATATAAACTCACCATGGATAAATTAGGCTGGGGCTGAGGAAAACCAAACTGACTCCTGTAGTGAGATGGAAATGCTGTAGTGGCCATTGCTGCACCCTAAAATTTGAAAATTCTTGCTAAGCTGTGTCACAACAATTAATACACACTTCAGATTTTATACAACGAAAACTAGAGTGTTTTCCATTATAATAAATTGTACATGGTTTTTAAATTTGTATTTTAGTAAGATTTGATGCTCTTGTTCTGCTATTAATAATACATAGCATTATGATTTCATTTTCCCTCATGTTAGAAACAAAGCACAAAAAGTAACCTCAGTATGAGGTTAAAAGCTACTTGGTCACAAATTATTTACCTCCTTCAATTCGCTGTTTTTTTGCTGGTGATAATCACACAGATGTAAATTACGGTGAGTAAGAATGTGTCTAAGTATTGTACAAGTTACTCAATGGCAAGCATACTCAACAGCATGTAGACCAACAACAATTTCCTGTTGGCAGTTACTAGTCAGAATAGTGTTAAATAAATATGAGACATATTAATTGCCTTGACTAAATCACTTGTTAGCTGTAAAAATTAATTCCAGTCACAAAATACACTGTACTGACATTAACCTGTTCAATAGGCCAGCTAAGGAACTAATTTGATGAAGTCAGACACTAACATGAATTTCTAATGCATACTAAATTTCAAATAAGATCTGAAAATTGTTAAGAGCATTTCCTGTGATCAGTTTCCTTTATGGGAAAGAGCCCACTTAATTTGCCTCACTTCCTACAAGTAGCTTTGTGCATGAAGCTCACCCATCATGAGGATAATTTTTTTTTTTTTTATCATTTGCATATCAAATCAATGTTCTCCTTTTCAGCCACTAACCTGTAAAATTTACCCTTTGTAGTGCCTCTAATTAATGCCTAAAATTGCTTGGAATTCTTGAAAATTCTATTAATAAAAGGATTGGTCTGCCAATTCAAAAATTATTTCTAATCAATTACCTGTAATGCTGAAAATAAAGGAGATCAACACTGCAAAATCAAAACATTTTTCTTTTAACCCATTGACGTCCAGTGCGCCCTTATGCGCCCATGGGGACCCACACCCTTTCTACGCCTTGTGACGTCATCACTTTTAACCCTGGAGCACGAATTTGAGCACCTACTTGAACAGGTTGAAAATATCTTACAGACGATACCAGAATGAGCGCAATTGAGTGAAGGAGATTGGAGAAATAGCCAAAAAACCGTGTCACTTTGACCTGAAAATCTGCACGAAAATCGTGTTTCACTACCCACCTACCTTTCCGAGCATGTGCTTTGAAAATAATGAGTAGTTTCTGAAAAATCTCTACACCAAAATGAAGCCTACTCAATTTCCAGCAAGTGAGGAGAAACTTCAGGCAAGGAGAGGGGAAAAAAAGGGCAGGAGAAAGAGAGAAAAGTAGAAGTCTGCACATGCCCGAGATTTTCAGGCCGCCATTTTGCATTTGGATCGAAAGGCCGTCGAGTGCACTAGCTGTCAAGGGGTTTTTGGTAAGTTTGAGCTTTTAAAACCACAACAGTGACCCGAAATCTGCTCGACTAGCTTCAAAACACAGTTTTCCACAAAAGCTGTGGCCATTAATGGGTTAATTGTGAAAATGAAACAACATGAGACTTGTCATAAGAACCGATTTTACACAAAGTTCTGTCAGAAGGTCCAACTACTGATTCTTACCCCAAATGATAGATTGCCAGATGGATATCCAGGCTGTGGCATAGACGGTCCTGTTGATCCACCATAATTACCAGCTGTGGGTGGAACAGGAGCTGGCATGCCAACATTAGGGCTTGGAACAGGCATACCTGATGTAATTACAGATTGGGAAGAAGTCAGAAGGATATGATTCAATGGAAAATTAAAAAAAAAAACTTGATGACAGAATAATAACTGCGCTCTTTGTTGTAAACCAAGTTTTAAATGTAAAAAAATTTTATTTCAAAAAACTATATCTATTTAATGATATTCATATGTGTTTCCCAAGTCAATCATGTAACAAAAACTTAAACAGTCATATAGTCTTTAGAGGAGTGGTGTACAAATAAATTTAGCTGTAAACAAATTTTCTTTTAAATTGTCCATCACAATGCACAAAACTATCAGCAGACACCTCAAATTTCTAGACTGTAGCACAGATTGTCTCAAAATCCTTTTCGCCAACATATTGAATAAAATTATAAAAAAAGGACTCCGTAAAATTTTCAGAGACTGATATGGACCTAATTGCTTTTACTCACTCTAATTTCCAAAGCAAAAAGAAAGATTGGGGGAATTGCAAACTCCTTGCAGATGAAATGTTAACTAGTCCATCTCGGGTTACCTGTAGCACTTAGTCAGGTTTCCCAACAATTTCATTGATACCTAATTGTTATTTCTGGGTCTAGAAACAAACTCCAAGCATTGCAGCTTGTCTAGCCCTAGAAAGCTAAAAGAAAATACTGCCCAAAGCTCAAAACTAAAACCTTGGATCCTACCATAGGTCAGGCATATTGACAGAAGGTACACATGTACCTATTAACCTTGAAAGGGGTGCAAAGTGTGGGGAAATGTGTACAAAAACTATACAAAGAGTAGAAGCTTACAAAGTGCACTTCCCTTTGCATAAAATATTGCCCATTCAACCAGGTGGTATGACTAAAAGGGAGTTTTCAACATACCTGGTGGCATTTGATGGGACATCCCTGGTGGCATATGGCTTGACATTCCAGGATACATACCAGTAGGTCCCCCAGCAGTTGGCATTGGTATTGTTGGTCCAGAAGGAGGGTACTGCATATAACATGTATAATCCCTTATTAACATTTATTACATGTGCCAATGGTAAGCAAAAGCAAGATTCTCTCAAAATGCTCTATAAAAGAGTATTCATGCGCAAAATCTGAGTCCTTTGCCTTGAGAATCTCCTTCTGCACTTAATTTTCCCAAAACGAGAACAGAACAGATCCTACATAGCAAGCTCTTCTTCAAAAAAGTTGAACAACCTTTTATAAATGAGATTTATGATACTTAAAAGATAAACAACATTTGCTATTCTGTCAATAAATGATTGAGTAGATTAACATGGTCATTAATTTACAAATGTTGACAAAACAAACTCAATTACCCTTTGGAGAGCAATTTATCCAAAGGAAATTAGTATTATCTGCCTTTCAAATAGGTCAGTAGCTTCATGTACACTCTGTGAGCAATGCAAGCCCACATAAGAAAATTTTATGGGTAGCTAGCACTTTGGTTCTCAATAATCATATAGTTTACATACCCCAGGGGCCCCCATTGGAGGTTGGTTAGCTATGCCGTCAAATCCTAATGCTGGACCAGGTGCTGGATACTGGGACCCCCCTCCTGGCATTGGAGGTGCCCCATACATTGGATAGCCCCCTGGGGGTGGTGGTGGGTAACTCATCTCTTTTTCAATTTGTATTCCTGAAAGGAAACGAATAAATTATTTTTTAAATATTTCAAAAGTTCACATTAATTTAAAGTGATTTTCGTAAGTACTCCTACAACCTAACATCGTTACTTTTAACACTCATAAAAACCTGAGAGGCAACCATTTGGCCTCTATATTGATTTATCAAATGAACTAAGAGATGCTAGCTGAGTGTTATCATAGATGACAATATAATTAAGGGTCTAACAATCAATCAAACATAAAATATTATGGGTTATTATTTCAAGATAGCAATTTTTGAATCAACAGAGTGACAAATTTTGTTGGGTTTTTTTGGTGGCATACCTCTTGTCATCAGGTAATATTGGCAAGAGTACCATATAACCCCAAGACTACCATAGAACCCCAAGAGTACCATATAACCCCAAGAGTACCATATAACCCCATACATTAATTAAGCATTCAGACTAGCAGACTTTGTTTTTAAAGTTTTGTCGTGAAAGAAAAAGAAGTGGAATGCATGATTAATGTATGGGGTTATAGGGTACTCTTTCCGTAATATTTAATCTGGCTCAGTTCAACTTCACTTCCGCTAACTGCGCCCGCTTTTGGTAAGAGTACCATATAACCCCATACATTAATTATGCATTCAGACTAGTAGACTTAGTTTTTAAAGTTTTGTCGTGAAAGACAAAGAAGTGGAATGCATAATTAATGTTTGGGGTTATGTGGTACTCTTTCCCCGCTTTTTTCCTTGCATGTTCGTCATTTCGGAATAAACTAGAAATTTTCTTGAGATTTGTTGCGATTTCTACTAAAATCGTGATTCATCACTGATTTCAAGTATAAGCCTCAAAGTGAGAATCGTCACAAAGAGCTAAAAATTGATTATGACTACATTTGATCCACAAAATAACTTCGATGACCTGCGTCAATTTCAGCGCTACGCTCCGAACTCAAATGTGAATTCTACCATCATTTTAGAAATAAAGGCTTCTACATAAAGAGAGCCATAGTGAAAATTTATGTGGCGGTGGTGAAGATTGGAGGGAATTATGTTTCAAAAAATAGTAAATGCTCAAAAATAAACTTTGATCATTTGATCAACTCAGACCATTAATATTTGTAATAAGAACACGAATTCCACCCAGACAATATAAAGTCCTTGGTTATATTTTACCTTTTTATGCCCTGGTATTCGCTGCTTATCCTGTATCTTACTTGTAAGATATGAAACGGTACAATCGGTGCTTTCCAAATCACTAATTCAGTCACGATTCACACAGTACGACTGGGAGTAGATCAAACGAACGGGTGTTAGCTCCAAGAATTGTTTAACATAGGTAACGAAAATGAGCAACGGAGTATGAGGTCTTGATTAACCGCTAGTTAAACTGTTCCATGACTACAACTTGAAGATGCTATCCTGTTAACAAGCAAGTTCAGATGAAACCCTTTAAAAAAAAAAATACCGTAATAAGACTAACGTTCGATGCGTATCACACTTCTCTGCTGAACATGCCCACTCGTTTCGACGGGCAGAGGGGCACTGGTGACAAAGTAACACTTCCTGCGGAGATTCTTGCGGTTCTTCGCAAGGCTCATTGTGGAAACCCTACCCTAGGATACAAGGACTGGTCCTTCATCCACTGATTGGAGTTTGAATTAGATTATGGAGCGTTGGTCCTGGCTTTTCTGGATGAAAAGTCGTTCTACCGAAGTCAACATCAATGTTTGCCTCATGATCAGTTTCAGATGGAGAGGAAGGCGTGGGAGTAGGAGGGGAGGGGAGGGGAGGGGTAGGCATAATTTTAAGCACAATTCAGCAAAACGAGCATTAATTTCAGCTTTCATTTCAGTTTAGCACTGCTGGCATAATCCGAGCTTTTATGCATTGAAAAAAAAAAAACCATCATAGCTCTAGAATAATTCAGTTTGTATTTTATTTTTGTATTGTTTTTGGAAAATATTGAGGTCTGTGCTAGGGCCCATGGTCAAATATGGTCCGGCAGGCGGCAGAGGTTACCCTGTGCATAAGACTGAGACTCAAGCCACCACGCTTATGGATCGGCGGCTCGGCCCCTCAGGCCTCAGATCAAAGATGGCGTCGTCTTCGAGTGCATCCACTTCCACCACTTCAAGCACTTCCAGTGCCGTACCGAGAGCTTTAATCTCTAGAGAACGTATCATTTGTTAATCATTTTGCTTTTCGAGGTGCGCACGTGCGTATTTGCGATCCTAAAGACTGTAAGACTGGAAGGTGGACTATGTGAATGTTCATTAAAGTCAAAATTGATAGAGTTAAGCCACTGATGATCTTTATTTTCCTTAAAATCAGTGTAAAATGTAAGTAACATAATTTCGGTGACAGAGAGCATAATTTTCAGAAAATAGCATAATTTTGGCATAATTTCTAAAAAATATGAGCACTGCTAATAGCACAATATGCTCTTTTTTCGAGCACAATCTACCAAAGCCTAGGGAGGGGAGGGGACGAAGATGAGACAACGTCTTTTCCACCTCCTTTCCTCAAGGAAAACGACGATGGACGGCCGCCTTCATTTTTTTTTTCTACGTTTAATATACAAATGTTCACGTCTCATTCTACGTATTAAATGAACTGATCAGACTATAACGAATATCCGTACATAAACCCTTTAATACCGCCAAGAGTGACCAACATCCAATCTCTCCTTACATCATCAGCCTGAATCAAACAAAAAGGCTACGAGAATAAAGGAAATGATCCTAAATCAGAGAAGCTCTTGATTGTTAAACAAAGTCTCCTAATAAGCACCTTAGGAAATTTACAGAGAACAGTATGGAGAATATGCATACTGATGTCCCGGGTAAGGGATGAGGAACAAATTCATTCCCTCTCAAGTGCTTTCAAAGTTCCTGTCTAAAACCAATTGTCATCTGCACAAAAAAAAAATTAATAAATAAAATAAAAGGAAAAATTAAATAAATTTAAAAGAAGCCTCGGCCAGGAACGAGGCCTTCGAAATTTTAGCGATACCAATAACAGACTGACATAGAAACAAAAACTAGGTACACAAAAAGAAAAACAAGAAAAAAAAGAAAATCAAAATAAAACAAAAATAGAAACAAATCAGACGAGATACATTCCAGGCTGACTTTGTTCACTGATTTTATTCCAGTAGTTTACCGTTTTTCTCATAAATGCCAGTTTCCGTTAAAAAGTACGAGTTACAATCTACAATGGCCCTCGTAACCTGTCTACAAACCAACCACCTCACTGTAAACTACAAATGGTGATCAAAAAAAGCAATAACTGCGCAGTGTAAAACTAATAAAACAAAAATCGCACACTTCTATTTTGTGTATAAAAGCCAGTCCTAGTTAGCCCCACCCAGTGTACGTACCATACTATGAAACACGCTCAAAATTAGTTCACCGACACGAAAATCAAGTTCACCGCATCCACAACTGCTCAAAACATACTGCAATAATAATGACAGTGTGCGAATTTTGTCCCTCGCGAGAAAAACAAATATTATTTAGGCAACATTGTCTAGATAAACAAATAATGATCCCAATGTTCAACTGGCCACTGAAAAATGTTGGGTATTTCACCATTAATGTGATGACACAGTGCGGAATAAAATGAACTCCGATAACTCATCCTACACAACTAAATAGAGCTAACCATGAAGATTAAACCAAACCAAACATACCGAATATTCATTTCCTTCTCTGCCTTCCAGATTAAAAGAACCACGCTAGTTAAAAATTGTAAATTAAGTTGTACTTGAATGCATTTCAAGATTAAAAACAAAAATCATTAAAAACTTCTCATGAACAATCCAGGCATTTATCACTGACCAGCCAGAACAAATGAATACAAATAATTATTTCCTCTCTCAGGATAACTCATCCTTTCTCGCGCATGGTCCGAGTTGGACTCAACTTGCACCAACTGTACTGAAGAATCAGCACCTTCAACCCAATTATTCGGCTTCACCAACGATCAACAAGCCTTCGTCTGCTGGTAATACTTTAACATACACTGTTTTCAAGTCCATTTAGGTTACAATAATGGGGCGTTACGAACACCCACACATCCGACAAACGTTGAAGGGACCGTAATTTATCACACATTTTGATAATACACCATACTGTAAAATAAATCGAGCTCTAAAAGCTGTCAACAGCATAATTTCCGACGACAAGCAGCCATAAAAGGGCGGTTACCCACATCTGAAAACGTGTACATGCGTTTGAAACGCAAACAAGGAGAAAAGCAGTCTACAACTAAATTACTTGATTGTTCTTAAACCACGAGCAAACAGAAGCTTCATTAACGAGATGAAGTTGAAATTGTAGAGCGATAAGAAGAATTTTAGCTCGTTGTAATTGCACCTGTCGCCTTTAGTAAGTTGCATGTATGTTTTCAAAGCAATGACTGACAAACTCTAAATAAAACACTGGTTTACAACACATAAATAACACCATAAAAACGCTCTACAATACAACCCTTCTTCTCTTTCGTGGAGAAAGAAAAAACTGTTTATACACTTATTCCAACCATGTGAAGCAAATCCAGGACTGTTTGGCTATTCTTAGCTTTTCACGAAGATCTGCTGACTTCTGGCTTGTTACGTGACATGTATGGTTCACACACATGTCACGCAACATGTCACTAGCGTGCGAATCGATCGGTCAAAAGTTGGACGACGATCGGATGAAGCTTCACATGGGAAGAATATCTACAGAGTTTCAATAACCTGATGCACTATAAGTAACATGTTACATATACAGTATCGAGCATGAAACCTTGGTAAGATCTAAAAATGAAAATCTATGATGCAGGTATTGCACGTAAACCGAAGCATTTTGTGCTTTGGGCGTTGATATATTTCGCGGCTGCATATTACGACGATTTCCTGACGAAAAGTGAAGTGAAAAAGAATCGGGAAAAAAAACCCAAAAAAACCACAACAAAAACTAACAAAACAAACTAAAACCAATAAAGCATACATTTTGATCTTCGCTAAGATGTAATTAGGATCTACGAAAAAGAAAAAAAAAAAAACTGACTGTTTTCCCAAAGACTGTAAGTGGTGATGGTAGACAATTTCTTTGCGTCCCCTACAATCTCCTTATGTCCTCGGCCCAAAATATTCAATGTATGGTACACAATTAATCTCTAAGAACAGAGAGAAAACAAAATGAAACGCCCAAATAAAATGTAGAGTTGGGCTGATGGTAAAGGAAAATGAAAGTGTTTTAGCAAGTTGGTTAAAGATATAGTCCACGAATGTATTTGTTGAGACGATACTGTACAATGTCGTGTACATACAGTAAAGACGCTTATAGGTGTCAATTCACTCTTGTGTCCAAGTACAATGCAATTGCAACCACAGCATCGAAGACTGTTCCATTCTAAGCGACAAGCGGAGGATTAATAAAATTTTACAAGTGAACGAGCTCTTCTGAAATAAGTTGTACAATTTCCGCATTCATTGAAAAATGCCATTTGAGGCTACATACATGGTAAGATATGGGGATGAAATCTATATTTTTCACTACCTCCCTTTCTTTGATATATTCAAGTTCTTCTTTAAAATAAAAAGTTCTTAAAAAGAGGATAACTCCATTTGTGTGGCATTTTCGTCTTAACGCGCGTTTTGTCCGTCCATGGTTTACAAAGGAAGATATACATAACGGCGAAGAAATTAAATATCATAATAACACTACATATTACAGATAAAGAATTAAAATTGCAATATATTATACTGAACACTTCTAAGCTAACGCACTAAATTACTGTCAAAATAGTTAAATTAAATTAAAGTTGAACAATATTGCTTCATAACTGAAGTTGTGCGTACAGTACTATGCCAAGAAACCAACTAACTAAACTTTAAAGCACCTTCCGTTCTCCTTTTTCCAAAACCAAAATCCAAACGGGTTTATAAAACTGAATAAGGGGAAAAAATGCCGGTGAACATTTTCCTGATAGAATACAAAACACGTCTTGTAACAAGATCCTTAAAAATGGCTTGCTTCAACTCAGCCTCTTTACAACTCTTTTGTTACAAATTTACAACATCGTTATCGCGCGAGAATCTAACACTACCTGGGGTGGTGAGAACCTGGAATGTATCCATAAACAGGTACCCCATTGCTGAAGCTCAGAGCCTCAAATTCCACGAGCAGTGACTGGTGGTCTGACGGGAAATGTGGGTGTGGCCATCCGATGATTTTGTTCTCTTTGATGTAATCCTGACTAACAGAGCCGAGCACGCCAAGTGGAATGAGAAGGTCTGATGTGTAATGAATATAATCAATGACACCTGTGAATGAATAGGTAAGGTTACTGTAAGACATCTGGTCTTCAGAGTAGGCACGTTGGAGCTTGAAGCAGTGGGTCAGGTCTCCACACTTTTCTCCGTTTTTGCTATTGCTAAGGCGTGACAAAAAACCATCGTATTTCATGTCCAAGAAGTCACCGTGGTCAATCCGGACTCTACCATTGTCCAAGAATTCAACCACCCCTGACTCAGGGAGTGAGTTTAAATCACCGCAGCACACTAATGGAATTGACTTGCTTGGTGCAGTGCCATTTTTACCTAACACGAGGAGATGAAAACCATGAAAATTTAAGCATTAATCGTACACCTTGCGTACTGTGGCATTAAACATGTAATGAAGGAGCGATGCAGTAGCCCTGGTGAGAACCTTGTCTAGGCACGGGGGTAGCCCCGAGAAAGGGAAAATCCTCAGTAGTACTGACTGTTTTAGACTCTAAAGTGTAACAACCCGAATGGAAGCCAACACAGCAGTCCAGTGAAACCACAAATCATATCGTCGGCCATAGAGTTTGCTTTAGACTAGTCATACAAATTAAACTTTTAAATAAAAATTCTTCATTATCTATTCTAGCTGTGTACAGTTATGTACTTCACGTAATTTGTTGTTATCAGCTAATCTGTTTCTCTGATATCATCTCCTGTTTGTTAGATATCAAGCTGGCCCCAAAGACACATCCTGCGGATGGTTATCTAGCGTCCAGAAGCATGAATTGCCTCATTACCACCCCTGCTGGATAGGAAACCAATCCGTTGTTGGGTAACCTGTACCCATAAAACTTGGTAAGGTTTCTCTGGCAAATTGGAAGCACCCATTAATTGTCCTGGGTGGAGAGAGATACTGTGAGAGTAAACGAAACACAGCTGGGCATCCAACCCGGATCGTTTGTTCCAGAGCCCATTGTACGAATCACTAAGCTACAGTCTCTTCCACATAAATTATTGTAAAAGAAAGTTACCTACAGATCAGCCTGTAAAGCTGGTGGTTTGGTGCTTGCTTTGAAGTATTGAGCAGCAAAGCTGTAAGAGCTTTGGGTGCGAAACGTTTTCACAGCACTTCCGCCTTTTATTTCTCTTAGGTTCAAGATAATTATTCATGGATATTTTATCAGACAAAATCTATTCAACTTACCTCCCTGTACCATAAAGCCAGGGTTAATCTCCTGCATGATGGTCATCAGCTCATGCATCAACATCACTGATTGAATCAACTTCACATCCTTAAACTCCGGGTCCCAGTGAATATGCACATTGGACACAAGCACCTGCTGCCGTGGCATGTTCACATCATTACCATAATTAAGGTAGCCCTCCTTGAGCTCAAGTAATGCTGTGATTCCAATGTTGTCTTTTGTCATGACTCTATTGAGCATGTCTTCTGCTTCTGTAGCATTTTGCATAGCCAGTTGATTGAATTCAATCAGGTACTCTTTGACGAGGCTGAATCTGAAATGATAAATGTATGTAATCAGAGAAGGAGTTTGGCTTCTCAAAAGATATCCAAAGAGTCTATAACCCTAATTGAGCTAATTTGGAGTATTGCTGGTTGTCTTTCACAGAAGACCACTCTATCACAAGAATTCCTCCCCCCCCCCCTGTATTTCATCCAGCTTTGAGAGATCAGAGCCACTTACCATCACTCACTCACTTATGCCCTTTATATCCGAGTGGCATTTAGGGTAGCAACATGTTCCTTACACATCTGCTGCCCTTTTGCCATGAGCTTAATACCTCCCCTAGTGGTCCCCATCTCCTTAATTTCTTTCTATGCTGTCCACCACCAGGTGTTCTTGGGGCAGCCCTCTTGTATTTCCCATCAGGTCAGGTCAGGGGGCTTAAATGCTCTGAGTGAGCCTGAGAGCTATGCTGACTGGACCTCTTCAGATCCTGGTAGGGTCACCCATGCCAGACAGGTCAAAGGTTAGGGGCCAGACAAAGAGCAATCTACTAGCTCTCCAGTCTCGGGGGGTTTGCAAAGGGCTAACAACTCTGTAAGTTACTATTTTGAAACTGAACATTTGAGGAGAGGAATTCAGATGATTAGAAGTCAGGCAGAAACTTTCCTTAAAAAACTTATTAAGATAATTCGAATGACAAGAACTAAAATCTTTCCCATACTAGCTGAGGTAGATGAAGGGTTTGACATGTTAAAAATACTTTCTTCGATGCACCCTTCATTAGAAGTGCTGGGAAGTGAACTCTGTGAAGGTGTTTGTGTGATTTTTATCAAAGCTGGGAACTTTGCGCTGCAACTTACACTTCCCGATAAAGAAATTTTGCACATGAACTTGAATTTGTTTTTTAAAGTTCACTGCATCCTGGAACTGGCTTCACCAAAGCATAATCAACAAACAGACAAGAGAAAAGAGCATATCCATAATATACAGTTTTACCATGATACATTTTCAACCCACTTGCAAGACCAATTTCGCACGTAAAGGATTTGAGCAGTCTGCGTGGCTTAAGGAGCACTGACAAGCCTGTAAATTGACTGCTTTGCAAGTTGTGAGATCATTGTTTCTCAGTCCCAGACCTCATTGCCTCCCCTTTCCTCTCTCCTCCCTGGGTACTGCCCCAAACCTTAAGCACCAATGAAATTAAATTTGAAGTTGGGGTATAAAAAAAAAAAAAAAAGGCTGGGTACAAGTTACATACAATGTAATATCTCAAAACAAATCTTCACCATAGATATGGATTTAGTTTAAGGACAACCACAAGACTTGAAGTTGAACATGCCAAAAGCTTTCAAAGCAAAAGAAGGTCCAGGGGAAATTCACCAAACTAAGAATTTGCTGTTGGTCTTTTCAGTTTTGTAGTGTAGTAAAAAATTTCACCAAAATTTCCTGCTCCATTAAAAGGTTACCTTTAACACCCAGCCTAGTATCTTTACTTAACAGTACTCTTATCAAAGTTGCATTTAGATTACTCACTTGGAGGTCCTATAAAATATGGCACAGCCATCAACATATCTCCTATCTTCTTCTGCCATTGTTCTTGCTCTGGACTTGGGACTAAAAATTCCATTATAGCCGTGCTGTTGAAGCTCAGGAAGGAAAAAGTTAAAGAACTGCTCTGTCTCAATTTCCTGCAAGAGGGACCAAAAGAAAAGTCTGTAGTTGTTTTCTTATTTCTACTTAGTGAACAACACTTTTTCTACATGTTTAAAGTCTTTGAAGTGATTATAAAACACGTCTTAAGACCCTGTTAATTCAAACTCTCGAGGGAAACAAAAAACCCTTCAATTTAGCCGGGGTTTGAGTTATCAGTGTTGATGGTGAAATTAAATTATCTTGTTGATAGGCATCATCTTTTTACCTCTCCTACACTTCTTACATTTTGTTTCATAGGAACTCTTTCTTCAGAAAGTTAAGTTTGGGAAGTTAAGGTTATAATTTGGATATATTAACAAAGTTGAAACGGTAAATTGGCCACCGTAACGATTACAAAAGCTGACGTTTCGAGCCTTAGCCCTTCGTCAGAGCGAATGTTAAGGTTATAGTTAAGTACTAAGTTAAGGTTATAGTACTATGTTTTTGTACATATTACAGCTTTCATACCAGTCCAGAATTAAGATTGGGAAGTGCCAATCAGCTATGTTCTGACACTTTGAAGCTTAACATTGACTACATTTTTCATTTAAGTTTGAATTATCAGTGTAGGTTTGAGCCAAGGAAAAGTAATGGGGAGTTCCAGTAAACTGAGAATACTATAAATAACTTGAACAGTGGGGTTAAATCCAGAAGAAATCACATTTTGTTCAAGTTATCCAGGAGTTTGACTGAAAGTTAAGTGGGGCACTGCTGTATTTATTTTGTGGTTTTTGAGATAATTTTTGAATTGCAAAATACTTTTTCAAACTTAAATGAAGACAGTCTGGTAGTGTTAATTAACTTCCATACCACGAAGCAACTAGCCTTAGTACTACTTCCCCTTCAAAGGATGCCATCCAAGTTCAGGTTACCCAGCACCATTTCGTTGTATCTACAGACTGAAGTACTGGCTACATGTACTCTATCTCTATTATCCTTTTTCTAGCATTTTTGCACCTGCTGTGCTTTTTAAACACATTCAGTGCCTCAACCTGTGACCATTTTGATCACTATGGCATGCAGTAGAAAATTTTTGCATCTGAATTTGCAGCAGAAGCCTCCATTTTGGCAACCTGTGTTTAGGGGTCTGATGTAAACATTTTTCTGAAAACATTACATAATATTGCATAAAATTCCCTACCTCTTTTCTTTTTCTGGTGATGAAATCCTTATTTCAGGTGACCATTTTATGAAATTAGACTTGCCATTATAAATCAGATGTTTTTAACAAAATTAGGCATGAAAGCCCCACATTCTGTATGGTGAACTTGATTTTAATTGAACAAGATATGGAACTGTACCTGTAAGCTTAGAATATCTGCACCATAATGAAGAATCTCTTTCAGAATTGCACTCTTCCTGTAATCCCAATCAAGGGCCCATGATGGACAATAACCATAGATCTGTCGTGTACAATACTTATCACATAGGACATTATAGCACATGACACTAAACGTCACTGAAAACAAAGACAACCAACAGTTACTGTAAGATCATTATGAGGACAATACAAGGTTAATTAAAAGTGATATTAAGTTACAATATTGTACTTACAGAGAAACATGTGGGAAAAGTTAAGGACTGGACAAAATAATTTTGACTCAAATTCAGTTCTTGCAGTATTACATGTAAATCATGATGTTAAATTTGCACAATTTGTTTTTTGTAAGAGCCAGTGACAAACTAAGTAAAAAAATGTATCAGTTTTAAACCTTGTATTTTCAGGAGCATATTAACTTTTTACAGCATACAGTAACTTAACTGTTGTGTATAAAACATCATAAGTCCACCATTATTATGGATTAATTTTTCAAACAACTGAATCAATGTGCAGAGTGGGTAGTAAGGTTTAAGCACCACACAAATATTCCTCTTCCTCACCAAGATACCATCATACTATCTTAAAAAAAAAACAAACTGACAATCCATTTCTTTACACAGTATCCTGAACTTCATAAACAAGAAAACAACTCACATGCAGGATTCCTTGGCCTATCTGGTTGTAGCGAAATCCACTGCCTGTCTGGTGGTCGAGGACAAACTAGAACAAAAGCCAAATGATCTCAATAGCTTGCCAACAAAGTACTAACATTATATGTGGTATACATTGTAAACATTAACAGTATGTAATTGTTAAATCTTTAACTCTTGAAGTGATTAACATGTACATCTAAATTCTCACTACAATATCCACACATTAGCCAGAAAAAAGGTAATGAGAATACTCAAACTGATCAGGTAGAAGTAGTTTAATGTTATGTACAAGAATCTTGATCTAACAGCAACACAACTAATTTACAAGGAAAGGCGTAGCAGTCAGAAGGGAGAATTAACTATTAGATTTTGGGAGTTAGAGTTAAAAAGTATAAACATGTGCATTGCACCTGTTACAGACATGAGGATATTACTGCGCTCACTCGTGAGAGATACTTTCAGCACTCGGAGATAAAATTCGTATCCACGCGCGGCCATGTAATGTTCTGTTTATTATATAGATACTGATGAAATTTCCACATAAAAGACAACTTTTTTTGTTCATTTTCGAAACAGAAATTGGGTAATTATGTTGGTAACCATGGCCACACCAATAATTATCCTCACAAATGAAAGATAAAATTAGTATCTTCACTGCACGCAGTGAAGATATGACTTTTAAGTAAAGGAGAAATCCTGGTATTTCATCAGTATCTATATGATTAAGTATGATTATCATACACTCTAATGATGTTTACCACACTCATATGTGGGAAGTGAACAGAGGCATATTGTGCTTGAAAAAAAAAAATAAACCAAATGAAGGACATCTAAACTGATGCACAAAAATCTGAAAAAAAAAAATGGACATCGTAACATGTACACTGTAATCTGGCTGAATATAAAGCTGCACACTAAGATAATGTACATGTATTTGTCAGTCCAAGTAAAAGAATCTCTCTTCCTCAAGGAGAAATGATCAAAGGAGAAACATTGAAGCTAGTCTTACATATATTTCCTTTCATCAAGGATAGGGAAAATGACCTTGACATTTGATTGGTAGGTAAGGTAAGGTAAACTTTATTTGATAAGTAGGTTGAGATTGTTTGGCAGCCGATGGGCTGATGTGGACCTACTATACTGTACACAATCAAAATTTGACAAACAAAAGATATTAACAAAAGAATAAATGCTATGTACAGGGAGAAATCAATATATATGCATGCAAAAAAAACTGAGATTTACAAGAGCCTAATTGAAATAATAATAATTCTAATACCAGAAATTAAAATGCTTAAAGTATATAAAAAAACTGAGATTTACAAGAGCCTAATTGAAATAATAATATACTACCAGATATTAAAATGCTTAAAAGTATATAAAAAACTGAGATTTACAAGAGCCTAATTGAGATAATAATTATAATTATAGTACCAGAAATTAAAATGCTAAAAAGTATATAAAATCATCTTTTTTTGCGGTGATCAACATCGCTTCCTTGCTAAAAGAATACTCCGCAATGTCCCTGGTGTATTTCTTTAATATCTGCTTATAGGAATTAAAATTTCCAGGCACTTTAACTAGTCTATTTAAAAAATTCCAGATTACAGGGCCTCTGTACTGTAAAGTGTTTCTTCTAGTATGAGATTTAAACCTAATGATATTAAATTGATTAGGAAAGTGAGTTGACCTAGAAGTTGTCTTTTCAGAGAAAAGTTCTCGAACAGATTGATGCGAAGTTTCAAAATACACTTTGTGCATTAACGTAAGAACGGACTTTTGGTAAAAGTAAGAGAAGGGTAGCCAATTCAATTTACTGAGACAGATATCATCAGCCAGCTATGGTTGAAGGTTGTTTATAATGCGGGAAGCTCTTGCGTGGATAGGTTTCAGAGAATTCATTGCAGAGGGTGAGCAATTTTCCCATACTGAGACACTATATGTTACGCTGGGAATAATAGATTTGAAATAAAATTTAATTTCCTCAAGTGAATCAATGATTCTTGTTAAAAGCAAAAATGATATCTGAACTGGATTCTACAAACAATGTTACAGCTTTTCTCAGTCAAGAAAACATTGTATGCAATAGCAATTGCAGAAATTCAAACATTTGACAATTGACTTGTACTTCAGTGGGCATTCATGGGGATATGAAGCACCAAAAAGTTGAGGGGGCATGAGAGAAGAGTAAAGCTTGCTTGAGGCAGAGCTGAGAGCAACTCTAGCTCCACATCACTCTAACAGTTACATTTGGTTTGTAAAAATTTGCCTTTCATCACGTCTCATTTTTAAAGATATCCTTCACCAAGGGCAAATATCTACAGATAGGGGTATACACATGTTTATGCAAAAAAATAACCTGTTTCTCACATGCATCCAACATGAATAATTTCACCAATCAAAACATTTCAATTTTAAAACAGTTACAGTAGACTGAGCGTTCCAAACCATGTAATCCACACTCTTTAGAGCCAATTCCACTTTTATAAGTATTGAGCAACCTATATTGTACATCTGTAAGTTACTGTTGCTGCCCACTGGGCAAGGTGTTGCTCCACAGCAAGTAGCCAATGATAATTTATCAAATTTTCCTGAAAGTTTTCTGAAAGTTGCTGATTTTTTAACCACTGGATTGAAAAAGACTCTACAAGAATTCTACGTCTTTCTACAAGCATGACAAAATGCTTTGGTCACAGCTCAAACCCAGATCTGTTAATATAAAGACCAGTTCACAGGTCATTGTGCCAGCACATCTCCTATACTTTCAGTCTGATCGGGGTATTAAAAATTACCCTCCTACTTTAATTTAGGGGTATCTCTCAAATTAGTGTTAATTAGAACCACAACTGTAAGATTACACACATGCATCAACAAATACATTAATTAGTAAATTATGTTATGAGTCAATGAAACTGAAACTAAAAATAAAATTTGGGGATGCAGAAAAATATTACAACATACAAAAGCAAATAAAAAATACTTAAAACCATTCCATCACAAAAAGGTTCAATGAAGTTTCAGTTGATTTGTCTATGCATAAAATAACATTGGAAATACTGTTTTGTTAGCAAAAAAAACCTTTCTCAAATAGGGTATAATAAGAAAAGTTACATCTTTAATTAACTGGAAGATGCTAACCTTGATGCATGTGAAAGGACATTAAGATGACATCCACTGTTGTTTTTTTTTTTTAAGTTTTTAGTGCAAACTCACTGAATTCAATTGTTAAAATAAGAGAATAAAATCGTGAACCAATACATGGACTTTCAATAGAGTGCTTGTTTTCGAATCTAGTGATCTTACTGTCAAATAAACCCACTCATATAGACCCACTCAACCCAAATTAACTTCAGTTCAAGGTAACTACAGTAATCTTTAAACTCATTTTGCAGACAGGTTTGCAATTAATGAGATAACCATTACGGCAAAACGATCACGAACAAATCTTAAATGATATTAAGTAAAGCGGAGATGACGAAAAAGGAAAATCAACATGAAAATAATTTTCCAAACCCACTTCCGGACTTCCGAAAATACCATCATTTATGCAGTGTTCGAAAATAAATCACGTAGGAATTACTATACAGATGACGACAGACAACCCTCCGATTTTTAAGCTTAAGATTCATTCAACAGCTATCACAAAGCAATCCAGTGCAGTTTGATAGTGGGGCTACCACTAAATATGGCGGTTTCAAACGGTTATTGTTCGTTAGGTTAGGAGGGTCTACTTTCGTTTGTGTTAAAACAAAACGACCTCAATCAAGATAAACTTACGGTGTTTCACTTCAGGATTAAGCAACGATTTTAGTTTGTTGAGTATAGAATTTGCTGAAGAGTTTTAAAATGAAGGATATTGCTCACGAAAGTACAACTGAATCTTAGAAAAGAACGATCAATACGACGTAAATTCGATGCCTCGTGAACGCTATTATGCGAACGAACCTCGTGCAACACACAAAGAAAACATCGTTCGCGAGCAAACAAATCAGCTCTGTTCAACAGACAACATGGCTTTAGAAAAACAACAGATAATACCGTTGAAGTGGAAATAAAACTAGAAGCGAGACTATTTGGGCCAAGATCGCTGACTGAATCTTACTCTGACAGTGATAAATATAGAATTGACACCACAAAAACTCTCGCTCCTTTAGATGTTTACACTTAGTTTACTTACCTGTTAAATTATCCAGCAAGAAGCCTAGAAGTTTGGCTGTTCCATTTTTTTCTTCATTTAGAGTTAAAACATCCTGTGGTAAGGGATTTCCTTGCAATCCAAGGGTTTGTAACTGGAAAAGTTTTCCGAGTTCGTTAGGTAAAGCCCTCAGACTATTGTTGCTCAAAAGCAACTCACGTAATGTGACCAGATCTCCAAGTTCGCTGGGCAAACTTCGCAATTTATTCGATGATAAATCCAAGTGCTTGAGCTGAGCTAGCCTGGATATTTCTGGAGGAATCTTTGTTAGGTGGTTGTCGTTTAAAAACAACGCAGTTAAGAAATCCAGCCGCCATAATGACGGGCTCAAATTACGAATCGGAGCCGTAATTTCCAGTTCTGTCCATTTCGACTTTTTGCCGTTAGCTACATCCTCGGGACTCATCAAAGTATAACTTCTTCGAACATCATTATTTTCATGCTTATCCTTCGGCATTTCGAACGAATCATGACAATCTTCTCCTGTAAGTAGCCTCCACAAAGATGGCATACAACATGGCCACCGAGATAGACCCTCAGACAAGGCTTCGGATCAGTTGGCAGTGACGTCATTAGTTTCTCGAACGCAAGTTTTTCTGTCCCGCGGGATTCCACGCAAGGGCACGGGAATTTTGGTCTAAGAAAAAAGCCTCTGACCTCGATCTATTCCTGTTCTGGCTGGCATTCTTAAATGGTAAGAACGAGCCTCAAAGTAGGACGAACAAGGGGAAAACCTAATGCAACCACTAACAATTTTCGCCCACTTGTTTTTTCACTCGTCTTCTTTCCAGAGTCAGTAAAGAGGGTCACAATGGGGTAATGCCTTTGGGGGTCATCCTCAGTGGAAAAACCTGACGAGGTTTTCTTTGTTTCATGAGGTACCGTTTTGCTGTACGCTCTTGTTTATAATGTTTATAGTCTACCGTTTTATACAGGAGCCTCTGGCTCGGGCTCAAATGCAACCATGCCTCACGTTAGACAATAAACTTTGATTGATTGATTGATTGATTGATGTTTTGTTGCTTTTGTTTTACGTCACTCGTGAGCATCACAGGTTTTTACACCGAGAATGAGCCTGGCTTTGACTTCTGACAGTTAAAAATTTGGCCATTTCACGACTTAAGTGTCAATTTTTACGCCTAACGACTAAATGTTTTGATTTGCAAAGTAAAGGCGTATAAATCTCAAGATCAAGGTCGTCGCAATATGATCGACTAAAATGAAACACTGCTTAACTGTTGAAGGTCTTGCTAACACAATCTTCAGTTTCTAGGGTCCAAACATACCCGTTACTTGAGTTTTCTGTCTCGGCTTTTTGTGACAATTGACCTAGAATTGACCAAAAAATAAGCCTCGCCGCTTATACCAAGACTAAACTAGGCATTGAAGATAGTTCAGTAGCCGGCTATTTCACCAGCAGCTGACATATACAATATGACGTATATCACTGAATCGAGGAAAAAAAAGAGTTATTTAATAGCTAGTTTGAAATTTAATAGCGATTTTCGACGTGACCTTCCTCCGGGTAGGGTCTATATCTTGCAAACATACTTTATACACTGCCCCGGCTTATTTAAAGAACCACTTAACTAAGAGGTTGCATTTTCGACTTTTCCTCCTTGACATTACGAGATATTTCAATGAAGTTGTCTTATTCATCAGGGCCAATTTTGGTGCAAAAAGGTTTAACTCTATTCTACAAGGCTTAGGTCAGAAATTGATTTTGTTAACGTAGACAGTAGGAAGAAAGCTCTTCCTTATCTTCTTTTTTTTTTACCCTTTCATGGGGTCATTCCCTTTCAACAGTTTCCACCATACACTTCCGGCATTGATTGAGCCCATTTCCAACACAATCGGTGCTGAATTCACGATGGAATAGTTATAGTCCCTCATCACACATTTGTAGCAATTTGAAATGTTCCCTGTACTAGTTGTTAACTGAACTACATTTATTCCATTGCTTCAGATTACAATGATGATCACAACAAAAAGTAATAAAATAAAAATCAACTGGTTTAAAAGAATTCACACCACAAGAAAGACCTGGAAAAAATATTATAAGACATGTACTCGTAGAAGGAAAAAGGAGAGGGTTGGGAATGCAACTACTAAGAACAGCAAGAACTCAGGAACAGATAAACCTCCACTGAAGTTAACATTTTCATACTGACTTAAAATGAAAGCTTCTTTTTATTATTTTCAAAGATTTTACATTGCATATGGTTGACATTAGGTAGAGAGGGCTCTGAATTAAATAATTTACATCATGTATAATTATATTCTGAATGAATCCATTATCACAAGCAACAATTTATCTCTAATGAGTATATGATAAAGAGTTGACACCCTTGGAATTAATCATTCCTTGATAAGCATGGAGTTTTTCTTAAATCAATTTATTTCATTGATGCAATGGTGATATACTCCAAATGAAAATATAAATAATAGTAACAATCTTGAATTTAGGTCTTCTTCCATTTGGCACTGTAAAAATTACTTGATCTGTGACTGAGGGTTGTGGCTTGAATTAATTTGAAGTAAAATTAATGATGATACAACTCTCTATATCCAACCAAGTCATAGAGTGAATTTGATTCTAGTTTGAATCCTTTTGTTTGGAATGTGATATTTTCTAACATACATTGTCCTGATGTTACATGTATGTTTTCATTTTTAATCGAAATACATTTCGTGTGGCTTAAAATATCGTATAATATGGTGGGATTCAAGTTTGGAAAAAATAATATCTCTCTGGGAGAAATGAACAACTAAGACGCTATCATGATAGTTTCTTGGAAAAAGGACAAATAATGAAGTACACAGTAAATGAGGTAACATGTGATAGTGTGGTCTTGACAAGGACTGTTGATAGTAGTGGTGACTGACGTTTTGATAAGCTGAGCGGTAGCCATCAGAGCATAGTGACAAGCTGAGCGGTAGCCATCGGAGCCTAGTAACAAGCTGAGCTGTAGCCATCAGAGCCTAGTGACATGCTGAGTGGTAGCCATCAGAGCCTAGTGACTTTGCTCAGATTGTCAAAATGTCAGTCACCACAACTGACAACAGTCCTTCTCAGGACTACACTCACCTGTACAATCAGACTATCAAATCTGCCAATTTGTAGGATTGGAGTTTTTAGTAGTTACTTAGGCCCCATTCATATGGTCTATGGTACCCAAGACCATGGGGCCTTAGTCTCTTAGTCTATACTAAAATTCACAGCAATACAGTAGAACCCCACTTACTTGAACTCAGATAACTCAAACCTCCAGTAACCTGAACAAGATCCCATTTCCCTTGACTAATTTTTTTAGTAATTTATGATCAGTTTACTCAAACCCTCACTAACTTAAACCATTTTTTGACTCATTTGGGGGTATGAGTTAGCAGAGTTCTGCTGTTGTCAAAACAAAAGCTACCTAGATTGATATGCTAGATCTATTTCTCATTCACTAATGTAAAGTCTACATGAAATATAAGAAATCTTGTTGGGAAGTATTAGATTTATAAATACATTTAATCTGATCAAAATATTTTGTTTTTGGAATGAATATGTTGCATTATGAACATTAAGTGTCACATTGGTGAAAGAGATTAAAATGGTTAACAATAATCTTGAGTCAAGAGTAGTACAGAACTGCAGCTCTCTTCAATTTTTCATATCTCTATAGTTTAAGCATTGAAAGCATTTCATCAGCAGACACTGATAAATAATATTCCCTTCCTTAATACACCTGATTTTATAAAACATCTGTTATAAGATTAAATCCATCCATTCGTCTGTTGAAGGCAGTCTTCAACTCACAGCCAAACTACCTTGCAATGATATGCAATGGTACTTTACAATTTTCCTATGAGTAATCCCTCTTTGCATTAAATACAATGTAAATTTGATGCCTTATTTCAACTGAATGTGCTTGATTTGAGACAAATAATTATTATCTAACTTCTAACTGTTTATATCTATAGGGTTCAAGGGAATTTTTGGTTCTGAAAGTTCTTATGAGATATAGCAATGCTGTAAAATCCAGCAACACTCCAGCAACTACAGCTTGCCAGAACTCCTTGGGATGCAAGTAGCACATGATAGACAAAGAAGTGTAAAGGAGTGATTTCTTCCAGTTATCAACAGCTAGTACATACTTCCACAAAGCCTGGCCACAACTCTCTTCCCTGACAAAAATGAGAAGACATTAAAATTACACGTCAGAGTATAATGAGAATAAGTTTTTCATTGTTGGAAACTAAAGAGAAAGCTATGGTCAGAGGCTGAGAATAAACAGAAAAATCAAGCCCTATGGGCTTGTCAAAATACAGCATAACTCATAAAAATACTCAGCAATACTACACAACAAAACATCTAATAAGATATATATATTTTTATATATAGGGAAAAAAATTAAATGTAGATTTATTTTGATACATTACCCACAACAAGCACACTTGTTCAAAATGAACGTTATCTCAAAAAAAGTAACAGCAAAACCACATATCCTGAAAAAAATCAGAATACTGACATTTATCTCGGATACAACACACTTGATCATTTTTTTTAATACCCTGAAATTTTTAAACTTTATTTTCATATTTATTCCACAAAAATCTTAAAGGCAAGGTACCATAACTCAAAGTGCATTGTATCATGGTGACTATTAACCAATCACAACATAAATCTTAAAATAGAAAATGCCAAAGTACATTAACTGATTAACTAAAAGATAACATGTTGCCTGATGCTTCAGTCCAGAAGACAAAAACATATGTCACTGATGTTCTTGACAGAAGATTACTTAAATAAGTAAGAAATAATAAAAAATGTCTGCATGATGCAACGTGTTATATAATAAAAAAGTTAACTGATACTTACATAAGGTATGCGGCTACCCTTTTGTCATCTTGGTCAGCCAGAAATACACCTGTCCACCACAGGGCTGAATATAGTTTCAAAACAATAAGAATGTTGAGATATTTGATGACAAAGATCTCTTGCTTAGTTGATCCTGTCCCCACCTTTCACAAAAACTATTGGGGTAAAAGATTAAATTCAACTATCCACGACGTACGGACCTCTTGCAAATGATGATGGCAACAACTTCACCATACTTGATAAATATTTATTTTTCCCATAATCTTCCCGGTCGGTATGTAACTAAAACATTCGGATCAGGTGTTTGTAAAGAAAATCACTTCCTCAAAAGACAAATCTACGACTAAAGCATGCCATATAATTCATTACATATTGAAGCGAGCCACAAAGCAGGTATATATCCGATGAATTATTCATAGAAATTTACAATGATGCTCTTAGCTTCGTCTTAACTTAATTAGTTATTGGAAGAATCCATTTGCGTATCGTAACGTGTACATATTGAAAATTATGCAGTGAGACCTCAAGACCTCTGTGTATGTTTTAATCTACTCCCTTGAATATTTCCTAAAAAATGCAACATAATGAAGTTTATTCGAAATATAAAATAAACTTACCTGCGCTGGTAAACAGGCCAACGATTCGCGTAATCGAAGTAAAATGCCTGATGAAAAAGGGACGTTCTTCCCTAATTTCCATTTCAAAAGCTTCTAATAATCTGTTACTTTTAGTGTAATCAGTAGTACATCACCACCTATCCTGCTGAATTAAGTACAATCAAATTTGGAAATAAAATGAGCAACGAACTCACAAATGGTTGTTATCGTGGCAGCCAATAAATAACAAGGCGTTCCTTGCTAAAGAGATAGCATAAGTACTAGTGTCCAGTTTCTCATGTTAGAACGTTGGTAAAACAAATGGTAGGACAGCAAATGGTGAGACTACGGTCGTTTTTGTCGTTTACCGTAGGTCATTAGTATGAATCTCGAAAGGCTAAAGAGGACTTTCTCCTTCTTTATACCTCCCACCTACATCCTGCAGAGAGTAGAAGCTTCCCAGAGCCCCTGTTTCACAGGGTCCGATTGCAATTTCGTCCGAAAGTCGCCTCTCAGTCTAAAATTGATTTTTTGTGCTTCTGACAAAAAAATAAGAGAAATAAATACAACTATAGGACAAGTCTCTCATTTGCAGTACCAAGCACCACTCTGAATGTGAACAGACTGTGTAACATAACATGAGAATTGGAACATTCTATTGAAGCTTTTACAGAATTTTTTGGTTACGAAGAACGTTTATTTCATATAGTCACGATTTCTTTTTTAAACTTAAATAGGACGCTATAGACTAGCACGCGCGGAAAAACTAAATAAGGTTCTGCGATGAAAAATTTTCCTTTATTTTTGCGATTCAGAACAAAAACCCCCACAATTAATCGAAAAAGGTGCCTCTTCTTCTTTTTCTTCTCAACTTGGGTCAAAATCTTCCTTTGGCTGTTGCATCTGAAACTTCTTTCAGTCTCAGGCTATGTAAAATTTCGTATGATTTCGGAAAGTGGAGCTGATGTCGGAGGTAAGCTCCAGCACGAATCCTTACACGCTTACTATCAGCGTCTTTCTTTTATTCTCGATATCGAGAGCCTCACGGCGGTTTACGAACGGACATAGAGTTTAACTTCAGTCAGTTTCGGCGAGTAGACGTACTAAGAACTCCTCTCCTTTAAATCAACTTGTAATATTGCCGAAGGATGAAGAGCTTGAAAGGACCATGATTCCAAACCACAATAGACTTTTGAGCTACAGAAAACACCACAGGATGTAGAATACATGGCTAAAATAATGGAACCAAGAAGAAATTAGGAATTAGTAATGAGCTGGGAGAGACATGCTGTAGCTATTTTTTTATTTGAAGAAAATAATGAATGAGTGCCTAACGATAACAAAGGGCTGAGGTCACTTTGCGCTTTCCCTATCCAAAAGCCCTGGTTACGCCCTTCATAATGAAGACTTTGTTTGTGAACCAATAACTTCGAAAAAAAAGTGCAGTCGACACTTACCAAACTGTATCAGAAAAAAAAGACCATAGTGACCCAAAAACATAACTGTCCAGAAAAATAGGAAGGAACGAGGAACATTAGCATATGTCGTTATTGTGCTGCTCAGATGATTGTCTTCACTTAGTCTAGAAAAATTTGGTTTTAGTTCGGCAATCTGGGCAGAGCTGCAACTGCAACTTTCTGCCTGCTGATAATGCACAATGAAACAAACTTGCACGAATAGCTCTTTTCATTGCTGGTAGATTACCAGAATTGCTTCTGATGGCAATACCATAACAATTTTGTAACTTGTGGATCGTCAGTTTTCCTTTCCCACTCATTCCTTCATTCTTCAATTTATGCAAAGCAGTGACAAGTCTCCTTTGTTCATGTCCTAAACCTTCTTTCCTCTTCAGTTGAACATTATGAATGGCATATTGTTCTTTTATTAAATTGCAACTCTTACTGTCACGTACCATCTCCACTATGTTCCGAATACAAAAGCTTGTTTCTTAACAGAGCGAGAGAAGATAGGCATGGTGCCTTTTGGTTCCATGTTTTGAGCTGACCCTTGACAGTTGGGCTAGCAGTTTGGCGCATGCTCTTCCCTCCATCCTATATTTTCAAGGGGCCTTCGCACCATTTTCATGTTCCCTGAGCTTCTTCAAATGCAATCATCGATAAATTTTCATTTCTTAGCCGATCAGGCTCAGGCTTGAATCAAAATCCTGAATCTGATTGGGTTCGGACTTGGACAAGGGAACCTTTTGGTTTCTCCAATGAAAAGCATCCGCATCAAATTCAAATTGTATGTTAAGCATGATTGGACAAAATGAAAATGAATGGAAGGCTTCTAAAATTGCTCAAGCAAGAGCACTGAGGAAGGATTGAATGGATGCCCTTGAACCTCTGTTTACTCCGCTCTTTTGACTCTTTAACTCCCAAGGTGACCAAGTTAGAATTTCTCCTTACAGTATCAATATATCATAAGGAAAAAAAAAGGAGAAAAAAAAAAGGGAAAATAAAAATTATCACAATTATCCCGGTTAGCTCAATTGGTTAGAGCGCTGGATTGTTGTGCGGGAGGTCGAGGTCGATGGTTCGAGCCCCGGCCGGACCAACACTCAAGGTCTTAAAATAACTGAGGAGAATGCGCTACCTTTCTATAATATCAAGAAATGGCTAGACATTCTAGTTTTCTCGGATAAGGACGAGTAAACCGTAGGTCCCGTCTCCTGCATCTATTAATTAGTTAATTTGGTTAGGCAGGGGACGTTAAAGAACCCACTCACGAGATTACTGTGATGTGGTCTGGCCTGTTTAATGGGAATTGGGGGGAGGGGGCATCTTCAAATAAAAGTTTCTTTCGAATGTTTGTAAACTGCTAATGCAGTCTGGCCAAAGTCCCCCGAAAAGTGTTGTGATGCGCATTTGATCATATCTTCATGTTAATTTGCGCAATATAAATATTAAATTATTAATTATTGTAATGACAGGAAAACGAAAACAAAATATAAATTCCGCGAGGAGGAGTTACTCGGCCCCAAACCAGTCCGAGAGTTACTCCTTGTCCGCCAGCTCCAAATCACACTTAGGGAAAAGTTATAATTTTAACTTCGTTATCAGACATCATTACTGCCTTTGTGCTGTTGGTGTTTGTTTTTTTTTTTTACGACGAGAATTTCTACGCACAAGGTTCATTCCACAGTGTCGAATGCTTTCTCAAAGCCTAAAAAAAGTAATCCAAAAGGGTTTTTTTTCCACAGTCTAATTTATCATTCCATCAATCTGTCTAATCTAGTCTCCAATAAACCTACCTTTCATCAATCCAGTTTGATCGTTGTTTATCGGTTGTGAGAGAGATTGGACTGTTCAAGAATTTTGAATTTAATCATCTCCTATTTCAAAGCGGGACTGTCGCTGGTATCGTTAACGACATATTCATCGATGAAACTTCTAATTGTCACATAAATTTTACTCACGAAATCATTATATGAGAGAAAGAAGGTGTAAAGTTTCCAATAACCTGGACCTCATGTGAGAATAGGGTACTTTTTCCCGAGCTTCCTCCTCTCTTAAAACCACTAGGAAGGGCTTGAAGGAGGGTCTCTACGGGAAGTAGCTTTGACGGCTAACGGTTAATTTTTTCCGACTTTGACGGCTGACAGTCAAAATTTAGGGTCTTTGACGGTTGACGGTTCAAGTTTCAAGAACAGCACTTTTTCCTTTAATTCTAGAATATTGCTTATGAAAAGATGATAATTCCATTCAGCCACGATCTTTATCGAACGCAAGCTCTGTTTTAAGTTTGACAGTTATTGCTGCTGACCGTTTCTTAGCAGTAATACACATTCTTTGTTTGTTGCTAAGAAAAGAATTTATATAGTACCTCACTCTTGGTACCTTTCAAAACAAATGCAAACGCGTGCATAAAAAAACTAACTAGTAGAATCCAGAATAAATTACTATTGCTGACAAGTTAAAAAAACAAATATTTTAAATATTAAGAGACCAGCGAAAAAAACTTTCCAGCGTCTATAAGACTGGAAAAAGGAAAATATAACTGTCTTATGAGAAGTAAGAATGAAAAAAAAAACAAAAAAAATAAAAAAACAAAAAAAATAAAAAAACAAAATCACGGAGTAAAAGATAAAATAAAATTGCTAGGCTAACCTTGAAAGTACATTTCCAGTTGCGAGGCTTTATGTCATAATAAATTGACCATTTCTCATCAGTTTAAAATAGATGGCCTCCGTTTCCACGTTGCTAAATTGTTGAAAAAGGGAAGGAAGCAAGACAGCACGGTACAGCGGCTAGTCATTAAGAAAATGGATTTGCGCGAGTTGCGTCAAGCTCGTGTCATGCCGATCACGCACAGCGAATTTCTGGGGGACATTTTGACACAACATCAAATTTTACTGTCGTTGGGGTAATGTATATTTTAGTCTACCTTAATTTTGTACATCAAACTTAATGTGAACTGACTCTTTCGCCGTGTTGAATTATATCTGTTTTACCAGCTACGGACAGAGAGATAACTAACTACATGATAACCTTTGAATATACTTCGTTATCACGAGGGCTTCTTGCTTAAAAATGACTAACGGCTGGCATTTTTGATAGAGAAAAATGTTAAATCCACCTGATCTCAACTGACATCATTATTGCATGCACTCAAATATTGCATAAACTCAAAAAATTGTATTTCTAAAATGATATCAGCTTTTAGTATTATTTTATTTTAATATAAATCCATACACAAGGGGGTATGTCTCTTAAATTAAAAAAAATCTTTGTTTCAGCCCTTGCTCGCTCTCGATAATTATTGCTATCGTCCTTCACCTCCTTCACTAAGTGTAGAGTGATAGCCAAAACCCACAATCCTCAGTATGCTTCCGAGCTCTCAGTGGATATGAACTGAAAGAGTGGTGCAAAACTGTTTTACTTTTTTAAGATCACACGGCGAATGCGACGTTTTATCTCCTGGTTTATGTCCCTCTTGAACAGAGCGTAGGCGACAGGGTTGATGGCAGAGTTTAAAACAAGAAGAGGTAATTTATATTCTTGATCATCGCATGCAGTTTTCTCTGTATAGAGAAGATACACAACAGTACATCGCAAAGAGCATGAATAAGCTAAAAGAAATACGCTAATAACAGCTGCCATTATTTTCACAGCAGACTTCTCCCCGCGTTTGTACAGGAAGTGATGGTTAAAATGAAGCTGTTTTGCCAAGATACGGGCAGCTCTTTCGTGCTTGTAAACGACACATGACATTGACGCAAAGCAAAAGACGAGCACGCAACACGGTAGAAACTCGAAGAAAATCATATAGATCCACGAAATAAGTGAGAAAAGGAAATAGTTGTCATTAAAAACGAGCCAATTCAGTACAAAGGGAATAAGGATAACAATGGAACTCGCCCAAGAAATAAGAATCATGTGGGAAACTAAGCGGCGCTTCATTATCGTTATGTAATTCAACGGCCTTACAACAGCAACGTAGCGATCAACAACCAAACTACACAAGTTTGTCACAGACGCATACCCAAAGAGCCACCTCAGATAATCTACTCTGTTGGCCAAAGGAGCTTCAGGATCACACCCACTTGTCTTCTCGCAGACAAAAAGTGAAGGAACAGCAATCAATCCGACACAGAAATCCGCTACAGCAAGTGAAACGACAAACGCGTTGGTTTTGGTTCGAAGCCGCCTTCTGCTGTAAATAAGAACGATGATGAATCCATTTCCGATTATGGTCAAGATCGAAAGAATCCAGCCAAGAATCCAGAACCAGGTTGCCATCGAGTAATGAAAAAAAGTGTCTTACTCCAACGAAACTGTAAAAAAGACCCGAGATAAACAGCTGATGTGAGGTTGTAATCCTTGAAGTGCCTGGTAATTTTCACATTTACATTTCTAAGTTTGATGACGTCGATTATCGTGTTTTTTCAAGCCTCATTTTAGCTGATGGAGTTATTAACTAATTAGGGGAGAAGTTAACTATTTTTCTTTAAACACATATTTTTTCCCCAAGGATCGATAATCGTTCCTTTTAAGACGAATTCGTTGACTCGTCGAAAGACAGACGGATTTGAATACTGCATGCACAATGTAAAACATTGGGAAATGTGGATCCCCGAATAAAGTTTAGTCTTGCCTAACAGCTGTTAAGAAACGGTTTATGTCTTCCTCCATGTTATTTCTGCCAGTGTATGTTACTAGCAATTTACGCTTTACCCCCTTTTTAAAACCACAACTTCTTAAAGCTCATCTTTCAAACCGGCAGTCTAAATCCCACAAGTATCAACGAACGCTTTTCATTCCACTAATTTATTCGTGTTTTTCTCGTTGCCATGTTCCCACCAATCACGTAGCTCCATTTTCTGCCTTTAAAAGCACACACACAACCCACAATTCCTCTATTCGCTCCGACGAAGGGCTAACGCTCGAAACGTCTGCTTTTATAACCGTAACGGTGGCCAATTTACCATTTCAACTTTGTTGATATATTCAAATTATTTCGTTACCCCCACCGACGCAGCGCCAAACAGTTTCTTTAAAAACTATCAGCCTTTATTCTTAAAAATAGTACTGCATATCCTGAAGCTTGCTTTACAGGGCAAATATTTCATTTTTTTACAAATTCATTCTCAAATTAAGACTGAATTTTTATAACAGTGCGGTAAAAGAAACGGCATTATTTTATAAAGCCCATCTGTTGTTACTAAGAAAGGATGGCTCTATATTATTAATACAACAGCTTCATAACGTTAACCATGAATTTGAATACTAATCTATATCATCGCATCAGTTATTATCTAAGAGGCCTCGAGACCATCATTGTTAAGTAAACGGCCTTCATTCCTTCTGTGGTAAGTTAATGGTATACTATTTACATGAGAGAAGCGCTGCGGGGAGACGTTCTTGCGAGCATTTGTTTTTTATTGATGACGAATGCACAAATAATAATGTCCCAGTGGTGATATAATAAATTTTGATGACTAGCAAGAAACTAATTTCTAAAGATAACTAACTATAAGGGGTTTGATGATCTTTCTCTGACAGCTCCAGGACATTGTCAGGACTCCTGTTGGTGTGTCAGATGGAGTCGCTTGATTGAATAAAATCTCGCATTCTGATTGGTTAACGAAGTGAGTTATTAACGAGGAGTTGCGAGTTGGAAGCGAGGCTAAATGATATTGTTTAGCAACTACATATACGTAACCGCTATCGTCAAATTGTAACACCACAGCTGCAAACAAAAGCGTTTTTCAAAGTGAGTCGGAGGCTCTTTCTTGTTTTGAACTGAACTGAAGCGCGCACTCAAAATAAAAACAAGCAATATCATTGCTGTTTCATTTTTTCCTATTTTTATTCAGTCATGAGATTCAAGGAAAATCCATTACTTGACTCGTGAATTCCGTGTTAAATTGCACTTAAAAGCCGATATCGCACTCATCGCTTTGCGATTAAACTGAGCAATGATATGAGGATTGATGATGAGTTATGAATGAACATATTACGCACATACATCGTCAAATTGGTCAATTCAGTTTCCAATCCAAGCGGACGCTTTATCAGGCTATAGAGCTGGCATATATGTCACAAAAAGCAAGAGGACGCATTTTCTGGGCCCTATAACATGATTAAGCCACTTGAGATGTTGGGTGAACACGAGCAAAGCTCATAAATTACGAGCCGAAGGTGATTGACTTATAAGCTTTCCCCCGACTTTATAGAGGCCGGAAGACTGTGGTCTATTACTTAAATCACAAGGTTGGTTCAAAGTGATACTGATGAAATGATGATAAGAAATTTATAATGGTATGCCCACACCGCAAAGGAGTTACACACCCTGTGTGAATGTTTTCATTTATTTGGACTCTTACAAAAGCTTCTGTACATTTATTAGCTCTTACCTGACATGAGACAAATTTCTCATCATGTGCGGAAAACTTGTTTTTAAAAATTTAAAAAGGAGAGAAACGAAAAACTGAATAATGGTGGAGGAGTTTTAAACAGGAAATTCAAAACAGCCTCTTCTGTCATCTTAGACATGGAAAACAAAGTAATGAAAAATGAGAACGATACACCTGTCACTGAAGATGTAGAATTTCATGGCTTGATTGCAGTTCTTTTTTTCCCGCATTTCTGAACGTTCGCATTGTAGTTTCGAGGCTGTTCAGATCAGCTGCTGTTTGTGCTTGTTAAATTAAAATTGTATATCTAACAGAAAACGTGTACCTTCTTGTTGCATTTTATCGGTTTAAATCATAAACTGGTGTACATTTAACATATCAACACTCACCCTCGATCTTGTTTGTTATCAGGGGTTAATATTTTACGTACTGCTCATATATTCTCCATGCTGTTTTCTTTAAATGACAAGGAGACTTTGTTGATCAATTAAGAGCTTCTTTGGTTAGCGTTCGTTTCCTTCATTCTAGTCGGTCTTACCGTTTTGGACATCCAGAAAACTAGATCTCATTTAAAATTTAGCTTGATTTGCATAAATTAGAAACTATACACAGTGAATTTGTCGGTGAAAAACGCATTTCGGTGCTAATGCTAAGTCTTCCTTTCACTTTTCAAAACATAGGCACACTAAATATTCAAACTGTTTCCACCTGGTTAATTTTTGCTTCACTCAGAACGGAGATCGAGATAACTAGCTGGTTAAGTTCTTGCTCGGGCCTTTTTCCTAAGAAAATTAAAACGCAGATTGTAAAAGTTAGGTTGTGATTCAAAAACAACCTGATCTCAACTGTCAGCAAAGGCAGTCTTCCCTGAGTTTGCAAATTAGCTCAGCAAATTTATGGAAATTTATTTTGAGTAGCATGAAATGCTTTATTTTGAATTTCAACCGAAACATACTATTATCAAAATTTGTCAAATCCGGTTGTGCTAAGATTACTTTCTACTATACGATTACTTTATTCTATACGAGATGTGCGTCTGACATTACGATCGCAACTATTAGGAAAAAATCGTAAGTCATTAAGTGGTTCAATGTTGTTTCTCTTCTTCCAGAAGACACAGCAAATGCATCGTTCCACCTGCTCTTTTAAGTCCCTCTTGAAGAAAGCGTAAGCAACCGGGTTGACTGCAGAGTTTAAAACGAGGAGAGGTATTTTATATTCTTTATCATTACATGTTTGTTTGCTCTGCAGGATATGTGCAAGACTACATCGTAAAGAAAATGTGTAAGTTAACGTAAATAGGCATATAACAATTCCCATCACTTTCGCAGCAGACTTCTCCCCACTTCTGGACAAAAATCTTTGATTAAAGCGGAGTTGCTTTGTTAGCATGCGGGCGGCTCTTTGGTGCTTATAAACAATGTGTAACATTGTACCAAAGCAAAAGATAAGACTACAGCACGGCAGGAACTCCAAGAAAATCACGATTATCCAAGAAGAAATTAAAAACAGAGAGCGCTTGTCTTTAGAAAGGAGCCATATTACAACATCGAAAAAAATAACAAGAATTGAGAGTGTCCAAGAAATAAAAATCATCTGAGATACACGTTTGCGCGTCATAAACAATAAGTATCTGAGAGGCTTCACAACGGCAATGTAGCGATCCAGGACTAAACTACATAAGTTTGTTGCAGACGCGTACACAAACAGCCATCTCAGAAAATCCATCCCGTCTGCAAAAAGGGCTTCAGGATCGCATCTCGTTGTCTTCTCGCAGACAAAAAGTGAGGGAACAGTAGTCAACCCAACACAGAAATCCGCCACTGCAAGTGAAACTATAAACGCGTTTGTTTTGGTTCTAAGCCGCCATCTGCTGCAAACAAGGTAGATAATAAATCCGTTTCCAGTTATGGTCAGGATGGAAAGAGACCAGCCAAGAATCCAGAACCAGGTTTCCATTTAGTGTTTCTTGAGTGACTTTACTCAAATCGAAATAGCTAGAGAAACGAAGATAACTTTCGATAAAGAACCGATGGAAGACCGTGGTAGTTCCTTAACTACGGAACATTTTTTCTTATACCTGTCTTGCGCTCGTTAATAAAAGCGCTAGTTTGCTTGTCAACACACTGAAGTTTTACTCCGTGATGTGACTCTGAATTATAATTAAGTCTGGCGCGTTTGCGTTCAAATCAGCTGCCGTTAGCGTTTGTAAAGTTACGTATTTAACAAAAAACCTCTTCCGCCCTTTTATCTGCTTCACCCATAACAAAACGATTTAGAAGCAGATTTAGGACTCCCTGTTCTCACTTTGGTTGGTTTTATAAGAAAACGTGGACAAGATCTAGAAAGCTGGCATTTTTAAGGTAGAAGTTTTCCTTACTGACAAGGGTATCTAAAGTCTATCGCTGTGCAGCAAAAACCACCTGACCGCAGCTAACGTAGTCAAACAGATACCAGAACTTTCTAAGTAAAAATGTGGCTTGCAATAAACGTTATTCGTATTTTCCAGAGCAGAAACACTTTCTTTTCAGTATTCACGGCAGCTACTGAAATAACATATGTTTTCTTTTCTGTACATATCTTTGATATATCGAATCGATAATTCTGAAGGTTTTTGATGTCTCAGGTATGCATCGAGTTCATCAGAGCAGCTCCATCCTGCAATATCACTGTGAATCCAAAATCAGGTGTTCATTTTGTATTCAGAGTGGTTTTTATACAAATAACTGTCCAGAAACTTATGATAAATAAATGAATATGTAAGATCATAATCCCCGAAGCAAGGATCTTAGTGTAATGGAAGCCAAAATCTTTTACTCCAGTTATCTGATAAGGGTGGAGACGGTGTTCTGTTGCTTTGAAAAATGACTGTTTGTTTAACAGCTTAATGGAAATTTCAACTCTTGCTTGCATTACATTTGACTTCATAGATATACAATGAGTCCGCCATGATAGCATATGAGAGCAGCTAACACTCCACACAAAAAAACCTAGTAAATTTCTACTGGGTTGATGCTGAGACTCGTAACTAATTCAAAGAAATCCTGTATTTTTTTTTTATGGTGGTGTCAAAGTTAAGTTCTTGACTTTCATCTGTTTCAACAAAAACACGTGGCCTGTCTAACGTAACTGCGTAAACTGTCTCGCTTTGGTGTGGATGATGCTGCACAGAACTGGTTTGATTCTTTCCTTTCCAACAGAAACCAAGTTACTTGCTCTGGCAGAGCTCAATCTGACCCAGACACAGTATCTGTCGGAGTTTCCCAAGGCTCAATCTTGGGCCCGCTATTGTTTATAATTTATATGAGTGACTTACCAAACGTTCTTGAATCTTGTAGCATTACTTTGTGCCCTGATGACACCGTTTTATATTTTTCCTCCAAACTTATTTCAGAAATCGAAACTAAGATGAACTCGGACCTCAGACAAGTATGTGACTGGTTGAAACTTAATCAACTTACTCTTAACATCAAGAAGTCCCAATTTATGCTAATAGATAATAACTCGAGACTACGTAGAATCGATTCCATTGTTATTTCAGTCGATGGAAAGCAGCTTAAGGAAGCAGAATGCTTTCCCTACTTAGGATTAATTATCAATCAGAATCTTACTTGGGAGGATCATATTGAGCACATGCGTAATAAGATAAACAAGAAGCTAGGCCTTTTGCGGCGCATCAAGTCGTGTCTCCCACAACTATCGCTCCACTCCTACTGCTTCCGCGAGCGATGCACTTTCAAAGCTCCATTGGAAACTTCTAGAAAGGCGGAGAGCGGAGCATCGTGCTATTTTTATTTTTAAAGTAGTTAATAACCTTTTTATGCACAATTTTCACCGCTCTTTTAACAGCAACTATCATAACTATAATACACGATCCAAGCGAAATATCCGCAAATCATTCACACACAGAAGATGGGGGCACTGGATAACCATAAATTTTGCAGCGGACCCTTGGAATGCCTTACCCCTTTCGCTAAGAGATGTGCTCACCTTAACCCAATTTAAGCGTGATATCAAGAAGGCACTATTTTAATTTGTTTCGTTTTTCGCATGTTAATTTTTAAATTAATGTAGTTTTATCTTCATATTTTTCGATATGTATTTTTTTTCTTTTTATTTTTAGGTAATTATATTTTATGTAGTTACCTTTAGGGGACCCCTCTGTAAACCACATTTTTGTGATGTTGGCATCCTCAATAAAGATTAACTATTATTATTATAACGTCGATAAAATTCCCACTGCCGAAGATCATGAATGGCAATTCGAACAAATCATTCGTTTTCAACAATAGTATAGGGAAGTTCGTATTACTTCAATATTCATACCCTAAGTAGTCCATTCACAGAAAAATAATACCATGATACAAACGAAAACTCCACTGACAAAATAACGATTCCTGTGAAAATATTACCATCATGCTGACATTTATAAATCTTTCTATGGACTAAATGCAAAGCTGTGGACCTACCTAAGGTACAGCGGGGCCTGTTTGGTGGGTTCGAGTGCATAGGTTCGTAGGTTTTATAGTTCTTATTTTTTTAGTTACTTTTAACATAATTTTACCTTACGATATTGTGAAGCGCGACTGATAATATACACATAGAAGTCTGCGCTATATAAATGTAAATTATTATTATTATTATTATTATTATTATTATTATTATTATTATTATTATTATTATTATTATTATTATTGGGTTTGTATATAAAAATGCGAGGGCCTAAATACAAGTTCTCACAACAACTAGAGGAAAATAATGGGTTCTCTTATTTTCTCTTAGAAAAAAGATTACCAATTTTAATCAAGCCCTTTAAATTTGATAACAATATGCAATTTTATAAATTTTTGTGCGCGGCGATTTTTATCTCCGGACTACCACTGTGACTATCTATTAATGAACCCCCACCCCCCTCCCCCATGGACTATTTCTGGTTGAGAAGACGTTTATCCAAGGTTTGCAGTTCTCAGTGGACTGACGGGTTAGACATTATAGTTGCGTAGGATGAAAGAGTCGTTTTCAAGAACTGGTTCACTGTGGTTTCTTTTTTTACATATGACACAGCAAACAAACCGGGTTATCTCCTAGTTTATGTTTCTCTTGAAGACAGCATAAGCGACGGGGTTAATGGCAGAGTTTAATACAAGCAGTGGTAATTTATAGTCTTGATCGTCACACGGTTTTTCGAAATTCTTCAAAATGTAGATGAAGCTACATCGCAAAGCGAATTAGTAGGCTACAAGAAACAAGCCAATAAAAACTGCCATTATTTTTACAGCAGCCTTCTCCTGGATTTTGAAAAAAGATCGCTGATTGAAGCGGAGTTGTTTTGCTAAGATGCGGGCGGCTCTTTCGTGCTTATAAATAACATAATGCATTGAACCAAAGCAAAAAATAACCCGCAACACGGCAAAAACTCTAATAAAACGATGAGAATCGATATCAGAACTTTGAAGAAAACAATTTCGCTAAAACCAAGCCACTCTACTAAAAAATCCGAGACCCCAACTGCTGCAATGGTTCAAGAGATAAAAATCATCTGGAAAACACGTTTGCGCGTCATAAAAGTCAGGTACCTTAATGGCTTTACAACAGCAATGTAGCGCTCCAGGACTACATACATACATACATACATACTTTATTGAGACTCCCTTCAACAAGGCTTTTCAGTCATAATGTTAACTAACTTATTTACTGTAATTTAATTAAAATCTAATGTATTTAAAATCATTCAAAGTATATCCAAATTTACTACATATAGAACATATTGTTAAAAAGTTTCCGCTTAAAAATATCAATATCTTTAGTATTCCTAATGTTGTCAGGTAGACCATTCCATTCCCATGGGCCGCGGAAATAAAATGCCGTTTGTCCCGTCGACAATCTACATCGGGGGATCACAAAATCATTACATCCCCTTGTGTTCCTATTGTGAACTGCTGAACGCTTAACAAAATATTTACGTAAATAGTCTGGAGCTAAACCATTTACACCTTTATATGCTAAAACTAAATCATTAAATAAAACCTTTTCTGTAACATCTAACCATCTAAGAGATCTCCGCCCCTGAGAGATATGGTCAAATTTCCTTAAACCTAATACAACTCTGGCAGCAAAATTTTGTACCAACTGTAGTTTGTGTAGATTACGCTTAGATGTGTTCCCCCACACTGAGGAACAATAAAATAATTTACTAAAAACAAAGCTATTTATAAGTAATAAAAGTGTTTTCTTATCTAAAAGGTGCTTAATTCTTCTTATCTGTACTAA